AGTTCAATCTGTCCAGCAGAACTTGACTTTAAGTTTGAAATAGGTTTTCAAAATGGCGGCCGTGGAGGCCATATTGGATTTCTGATCGACCCGAAAAATAACAACACTTTGTCAGGACCATGAGGCAATCATTACTACCAACTTTCAGTTCAATCTGTCCAGCTTTTGCTTATATATAGTCATTCATTTATTCACACGATATTCATAGTTTCAGTTGTGTATAGTATATAATGATGGCTTAACAATGCCCACAACCATCGTTTAAGTAATTTCTGTTTAATCAGCTTTAAAATGAATTGTTAAAGATTAATTTTAATGAATGTTTGTGCAACATCATAATTTTGCTAATGACGTCATGCATTTAAATGTTTAATTCATCATTATGTTTAATGATCATTTGAACAACCGGGCCCTAAATATTAATTAATTTGTTGAATACCAGTTCTGCCAATGAACATTTAAATGCATATTTTAGTGATGGGCTGATGATCGATTATAATCAGTTTGCCCTTTCAAATTTGGAAATCAAAGTGTCAAATGTACATAATGTAAAGTATTGCATTAAAAGTCATTTACCAACAATTCTTACGTTTCTATTATTTGATTGACAAAACTGCATAAAAGTTGCTTAAAATCTATTCTATATAAAAGAACGAAATCAATATTTTAATGTTTACAACCCTGTCTATTGATGTACACGTAACAGAAGTGTTCTCACTTTATTTTGGATTTCAGTCCCTGATAATTATAAACCAATTATGCAATCGATTGATTTAGTACTTCACTTTACAAATCAAATATGATTTTAAACTGATTCACTCAGCTCATCACTAGAATATTTGTGCCTTTATGCATGACCCCTGACTTTAAAGGTAATTTTGTAACAGGAGAAAGAGATATGCAACAGCTTAGGTTTGAACCCTGGACCCTTCGGGACTCTGGGTGGGTGCTCTACTGTTGATTAAGCTACGCGGTGGCCGTCGATTGAAGTCCAGTTCTACATAATAATTATAATTCCTCCTTTCTTTTTTTAAGTTAATGTCTTCCAACGAAGACACAACTATTTACAACCCGGGTTAAGGTATTCCCTTGCCATTATTTATTAGCATTCACCAGTGCCTTAAACAAGGGTTGGCACTTAGCTGGCAAATTTTGAAACAGGAGGAGGAGAAATGCAACAGCCAGCTGAACGTTGTTCGAACCAGTAGGACCCTACGAAATCTAGAAGCACGCTCTAAAAATTAAGCTACCTGGTGGGTAATATAATGATCGACCCGGTTCATTTCTGCTACAATGTGTCAGACAGACAGACAGACAGACAGACAGACAAATGTATAATCAAGATATATTTCAAATAAATTTTGATGCAGATTTTTTTACTCTTATTTAAATGATTGAGAACATGATTATCCAAAATTATTAAAAAAAATCACACAATTTCATCATAAACTGTGTTACAGACATACATTGTGGCTATGGGGTCTTCCCCGAATACCAACTCTGCTTAAATTCACATGTTTACATAGGTGGTCAGTTGTGATGATAGTAAGTTATAAATTATAGTCTATTGCAGTAAACTGTACAGGTAAATTGCACAGGTAAATCAACTTCTGATAACTAACCAGATAATCAATAGCTGCTAATAATTGCAAAATAATAATTAATATTTAGAGTTCCGATCCCAAGCTGTTCTTCTGATAACTAATCAGATAATCACTAGTTAAATTGGTAATGTATAAAACAGCAGCACACTTTGGAGAATTATCATATTTCGCTCTGTACTTATCTGTTATTGTGTGCTTTGATACATCAACTACAAGATGGCAAACGCTCAGATCAACGTTACGTTCATCACCAACAGAAAAGGCACAAATACGTAGAAACGGCGACAGAACATTCTGGAGATGTACAACCTTAGGTTGTCCAGCATCCCAGTGACGGCACCTTCTACACCTGTCTTACTATATTTTACCAGATTTACAGCATTCACGTACAGATTGAAGGCATCATGAACCTAGTTGTATATGCACTACTTCCCGGATAGAGCCAGGCTATCTACAACCGTTTCTTCACGCTACTACAGGAGCACATGGCAACTTCCAGATTCCATTCCGACCCACAACAGCATTCGTTGATTTTGAGGTAGTAGCACACAACGCCATCCGCAGTGTCGTCCCTGGAATCAACATAAAAGGCCTTTTTTTTCCATTACACTCAATGTATTTGGCGAAAGGCCCAGTCAACCTGACTCCAGACACTGTACCGTGTGAACGATGACGTCAAACTACTTGTCCGCCAAGCTGCTGTTCTTCCAATCATCCCCTTAGACCGCATAGAAGACATCTGGTTCCAAACCCTTGAAGATGCTGACGATGCTGACATACCACATCCCGTGCTGCTTTTCACAGACTACGTCACAGAGCAATGGGTAGAAGGAGACCGACCAACCTTGAACCACTTCTCAATAGAAGGACCTCGGACTTCCATCTGGAAGCCTGGCACGGAAAAATGAAGAAAAGAGTACTGCATGCCCACCCAAACATCTACACCATCATCCAGACGTTTAAGGACATACAGAACGTGAATGACATCAGCCTGATCCAGAGAGATGCAGGAGGCACTACTCAACCCCGAAAGAAGAGATACGCCAACATTGACAGACGCCTGGACACCCTGAAAGACCATTATCAGACTGGAACTATCGCATCGCAGCTTCTGCATCTGGGATAGAGTGTTTTGTGCTAGAGACTAAAGTGATATATATAGAGAATGTGATTTGTGCTAGAAACTTCAGTTTCATTTAGTGGTTTACTGTTTATATTCATGTTTAATAATTATCCTTTAGTTCTGTATTAAATGTGTATTACTGTTATATGTATGAATAGAAACTTTATTTTATTGCTGACATTAGTATCAATGTGGCTTGTATCAAGGAATTTAATTTTTCCTATAATGTAATGCTATTTTTTTCCCATATAATGTAAATATCAATATTTAATGATTATTTTCTATTACTTAGTGCTGTATTAAATATGTATTACAGTTATTATATGTATGAATAAAAACTTTCTATCCATTTTATTATTGACTTTACCATCATATCTACAAAATGAGTTGACATTCTTAGTTGAAACAGGCTATAACTAAACTTCAAAGGATTTCCTATATAAACATCTTCCTTTGAATTTTCCAGAGTTGGTATTCGGGGAATGAGCCGTTGCTATCTTAGTCCTTGATTGTGTCACCATATGTGTGAAAAAACTCCATCAATTTATTGTTGTAACTCGACCTATTAGTACAGGTAACATATAAGAAAATCAATACGTGTACATTTGAAGGACGAGATGGCGAATTTCAGCTATTCTTTACTTTAAGGGGGCTCCATCAATGTTGATGTTTATGCCCTCGGGGCATTAACAGGTTGGGCACAACGGCGCATATGGGTAATAATCCTGCATTTGGGTAACCTCTTTGTATGTTATGGTTGAATGCACTTCGAATCTACTTTCACTATCCTATATAAAAAATGAAAATTTTGTACTTTACTTACGTTATTGAAAATCGTCATATCTATTGGTAATTACAAACAATTTTGGTTGAACAGTTTTCGGTTTTGAAAGTATTTCACGACCTTTGAAGCCTTAGAAAAGTCGGGACATCTAAAATCACGAAAATGTCAAAACACGAAAAAACGTTCAACCAAAAGTTGTTTATAATAACCATATAAATAGCGATTTTTAATAAAGATAGTGAAGTACAAAATTTTGATTTTTTATATCGGATAGTGAAAGTAGATTCAAAGTGCATTCAACCATAACTACAAAGATGTTACCCAAATGCAGGATTATTACCCATATGCGCCCAACCTGATTAATCACAGGAGTCTGACGTTTAATTAATATATGTATAATATAGTCTTTATATAAAAAAAATACCCCGTATACTATAGTAAACTTATCTGTAATATACCATAGGAGCCTGAAGTTCTGTCAATAATGAATAATAATGGTAATACACAAAAAATCCCCCTAATATGCTAAAAAAATAGATTTTTTACGCATATTAGGGGTATTTTTGTGTATTACCATTATTATTCATTATTGACAGAACTTCAGGCTCCTATGAATATACACTGTATAGCTATACATGTAAGTCTGATTTAGTAATTTAACACATCACTCAATGCTTGAAAGAGTACAGTACCGATATTCCGATACATTTACAGTACAACCTGGCTCCGCCCTCACTAACGGCCGTGCCGTAAAACATTTTACATATATTAATTAAACGTCAGACTCCTGTGGATTAATACATTTTTATGATTTTACATTTGCATTTTTTATCTGCGTTGAAATACCTCTTTTGATGAGAATTTCGTCCATATCAGCAATTGGATGAATATAAAAACTGATGAAAATATCAGTGCTATTTTCAGAAAAGCCCATCTTTTCATCACTGTTGTTGAAATCGGTAGCTGTCAATTCTTCTTACACCTGGAAGCTGACATATTGTAGGGTTGCAGAAAATGTCGAGAATAAAATCATATTGCATATCAAACAATTAATATATTTCAGATCATGAGAAAAAGAAAACATTTATTATATCTGAATAAATTCTAATATTTTTATAATTTAAATGTTTTGTTTATATTTTGATTTCCCCAAATCACATTCTTTTCAATATTCACCTCGGTTCGTCAACAAAGATCGTCGGCAACAACGTGGACACTTGTCAAAGGAGAAGTGATAACTTTTCGGAGATGGGGACATATGTTATGGTTATGTGGCGGTAATTCTGGTCGGAGACAAAAGCTATTCCAAAAATGGAACAAGCAGTTGTAAAAGATGCTCTCAAACTAATAGGGATATGTTTGTTGTGGTACACTACGAGTTCGGGTGGAAATATTGTAGGGAAACTGGTCTTGAACGAGTTTCCTTACCCGATGACAGTAACGATGGTTCAGCTGCTTTCGGGAGCTTTATATCTCAAACCGATCATAAACATGATGTCTGTTCCTGACACTGGTGAAGTGCCACGCTATTACTATTGGACTATGATATTACCGCTAGCGCTGGGGAAATTTCTAGCGTCTGTTTCGTCACATATCAGTATTTGGAAAGTTTCGGTGTCTTATGCTCATACAGGTAAATCAACATCAGTTTCCATAAAAGATTGAAATCGTACCCCTGAGCCAGATTTTTTGCCTTATTTTTTTTTAGCTTTCATAAGACCATTGGTCCATTAAAAAGGATTAAGAAGATTTTTCGGGTGTTGATATCATCTATATATATGTTATACTCCACGGTGATCAAAATGGCTTTAAATTAATAATTAAGAAATATATTACAATCGTCATAAATCCTCTTCCTGTCTGTCATTCCATTTAAATTTTAAAAACTTCATTTTTTCAAGAGAATTAAAAGATGCAACGGCCAGACCAGGGTTAAAACCCTGGACCCTTCAAACTCTAGGTGGACGCTCTACCAATTGAGCTCAACCTGGTCACTGATGATTGACTCTGTCAGGTTCCTCTACATTTTGTGTATCTACAACCCAGGTTTCGGTATCGCCCTGCCAAGTATAAACCATGCAATAAATTAAGTACTCGGCCAGACCAGAGTTTGAACCCGCAGCCCTCCCATTAGCCAACTATATGTATAGATGGACACTCTACCAATTGAGGAGTCCGATTTATTCTGACGTTTTATCAACTTTTTTTTATAACGATCAGTCGTCGATTAACGTCAGAACTCCGGCCCTCTATAATATGCGGGAAATAAGCAACCTGCGCCAGGGTCGCTCTTCAAACTGATATTTTAGAAACAAATCGTCACTTTCACACACATGTCGCACATGGATCAAAAGATCTATTCTTTATGCATTAGGTGGTATCAATAACCTGTTTCAAAGATCATTACGAACAGTATTTTCCAACGTTTTTTATACCGACCTATGTTTTTAATGGAAATTAGGGCATGAGCCATGTCGCATGACTTGTTGTGATCTCGCGTTACCGAAGATATTTCCCAACGTTATGACGTAGGCCGTAGTCACGTGGCATTAGAAGGCGGGGCTATCAAAAACGTAAAGTAAAACAGAGTAAGTTTGAAAAAATATGTTTTTAGTGATTGTATTGGTTGTTTGAGGCATTTTATGTATGTTCATCTTGTGCCCGGGGTATTCTTGATTTGTCTTAACTGAGACTAATTGCTTCAAGTCCAGGCCTAGGGTTAGTTACACATTCAAGAATCTCACCCCCGGGGTTGAAAATCCTGATTTGAGCATGATCTCTCGTGCCGAAAACTGTTTGTGATATCATAATTGTTTCTTCAGGCTCTCTGCCATACCCAAGAGACTTTGTAAAGTTAATTCTAACATTATATTTCGTTTTTATTTTGCAGTGAAAGCTACTCTACCACTTTTTACAGTTTTATTATCAAGAATCATCCTTGGAGAAAAACAGACATATCCTGTAAGTACAGCATAGACTGGTGGTTCAGTCACTTTTGTTCAACTTCTAGCCACTTGTGACTGACTCTGCTACTTGTAATTATAAAGGCGATTTTCCTTTACTCTCTAGTACTTGTTCTGATTCATTGGGGTGACTATGATTTGTCAGCTGACAATTGGACTGTACCATATCAGTATGCTGGCCATGGGGTCACATTACAATGATCAGTGTACAAAAATAGCCAAGTTCGACCAAGGAAAAAATATGTGTCAAAATATAAAAAAAAAAAAAAATTGAGGTATATATATATACTTATTAGATATTTAAGATTTGCTCATTTGATAATTTAACACCAACTTAATGTGTTCTTAAGTCTTTTGACTTGAACAGTAAGCATCCATATTGTACTACAGTAGTTCCTTATTTTAATGCCCTGATATTAAACACCTGTAATAGCTAAAACAAAAAGGAGAAATACATATTGTGTATCTCTTAGAAAGTAAATATGTCTCTTGTATTACATACAAGTTCTTACCTGCAACATTTTTATGTTCACCTTTCAACATCTCTGGTTTTACAATGCTAATAGTAATACTACACTGTACATTTGGCTAAATTGCTCACCAATGAGTATAAGTTTAAACCGGCATATATATATGCCTGGTAGTAAATGAAGACACTTCCCCCTCAACCCAATTTATACATTTACGTCGTGCGTGTGGTTACTTTCACAAGTTGCGATTGCCAATAAAGACTATTGCATTAAATAATGACTTTGGTTTGTTGCAGGTTTACTGTTCCTTAATTCCTATCATTGGAGGAGTTGTCATAGCAACACTAACCGAGATCTCGTTTGATTACATCGGCCTGATAAGTGCACTGTGTGCAACTATTGGTTTTTCTTTACAGACCATATTTTCTAAAAAGGTAGGCGCAAAATATTTATTTGTGTACTTGTAAATTTCCAGGACACATGTACACTATCAACTAGCTATAGCTATACAAGATACATTGTAGATAAGTTCAATTTGAACATGGTTGGAGTAGAACTAAAAAGATATTGATGTTGCTTATATATATTGAGGGCAGAGAAGTCGAGTTACCTCTATATATACGTATGTATGTAGCGGCCTTGTTTCTAATTCCAATGATTCTCATCAAAGGTAGTTTGGAAATCAGCTTACATACTTTTCCTTCTTCCAGGGAAACTTTCAGATGGAAAAAGAAAGGAATACATCGAGTATCGCTTAAGCAATACAGTTTAGCCTTTTGATCAGGTGACTGTCTGTTCACAAAACATTCATGGTTTTTACAGGCCAGTTAAAGTTATTTAATTGAGGTCAGTTCTGTGATAGAAAAGATGTGAACCCTGAAAAAAAATATGCTGGAATTTGTTCAAGATTCTTTGAAAAGTTCTGAATGTAAACATATTAAGGACTGTCTCAAAAATGTATAATCAAGGATTGTTTGATTTTTTTTAATCAAGAATTTGGTGTTGATTTTGGTTGGAGTGGAACTAAAAAGATATTGATGGTGCTTATATATTGAGGGCAGATAATTGAATGCTCATCTGTTTTGATTTGTTTTAATTTTCTTGCTATATGATATTATCCTTGGCTTGTACTATAAAACATAAAATAAAAATTGAGCCTGGAAAATTACAAAAGAGTACTGGAAAACTGCTCAAATTTTGCCCTGAATAATCTGTGTAAACCATTTGTCACTGCAGGTGCTTGGGTTTAGTTACAAGTCTCATGGGAGGGGGGCAGTTCATTGACATTAGATGTCACATATGTTTTAGGTGTAAAGTCTGGCACACCTGTCATTGTTAATGGAGGCATTGAACATCTTTGTCTCCCCATAACAATACCAACTCAAAATAGTTGTGAAGGCTAACTAAATATAACCATCGGACCACTGGGCCTGTCCCTTTTTCATAAACGAACAACACTGGGCTACATTCGCGTATCCGGTTCAAACGCTTGAACCGGTTGAACCTGTAAAGAAAACGACAGGTACAGATTTGGACCGAGGCTGATCTCAGGGAAATTTGGTACGTGTAGATTGAGGGGCTCAGACGTACCTGACCGAAACTAAAATGCTGACTTTTGCCAATTTGCGTTATTTCTTTCTTAAACAATGTCAAGTCACATGTAATTTTTAGCCCACCATCATCTGATGTTGGGCTATTCAAATCACCCTGCGTCCGTGGTCCGTCCGTGGTCCGTCCTTAAACAATTCTTGGTATCGGTATTTCTCAAGAAGTACTAGAGGAATCTTTCTCAAATTTCATATGTAGGTTCCCCTTGGTCCTTAGCTGTGCAGGGCAACTTTTGAGACTGATTGGATAAACAACATGGCCGACAGGCAGCCATCTTGGATTTTGATAGTGAAAGTTTGTAATCGCTATTTCTCAAGAAACACCATAGGGATCTTTCTCAAATTTTATATGTAGGTTTCCCTTGGTCTTAAGCTGTACAGGGCAACTTTTGAGACTGATCGGATAAAAAACATGGCCGACAGGCAGCCATCTTGATTTTGATAGTGAAAGTTTGAAATCGCTATTTCTCGGGAAGTACCAGCGGGATCTTTCTCAAATTTTATATGTGGGTTTCCCTTGGTCTTAAGCTGTACAGGGCAACTTTTGAGGCTGATCGGATAAAAAACAAGGCCGACAGGCAGCCATCTTGGATTTTGATAGTGAAAGTTTGAAATCGCTATTTCTCGGGAAGTACCAGAGGGATCTTTCTCAAATTTTTTTTGTAGGTTCCCCTTGATCTGTCGTTGTGCATGTTATATTTTGAGACTGATCATTAAAACAAAATGGATTAAAAGAAGAACTAAACAGATCTTTCTCATATTGCAATGATCGATTCTATTTCTATCACATTAAGTACTGTACTAGTAAATATGTGAAATGACAAACTCATTTTGAAAGTTGGCTTTCATACACATCAGCATTAAGTTTAGATCACAAGTTACCGCAAGGTGCATTTACTGTTAACATGACTCGATCAAACAGATTAGAGGAAAGAAGAGAAAAGATCAAACTGACAAAGAACTAATGAAGATGGTACAAAGGTGGGCGCCAAGATCCCCCTGGGATCTCTTGTTAAGTCTTCTTGTTAAGATACGTTATGTAATTTAGTGGACGCGTGAGAGAAGGGCATAATATTCTTTATGCATTGTTTTTTATTCTCCGAAACTGGTCCAAGTGTGTTCGTTTATCGTGGAAAATTTCTGCGCGACACGTACCGTTTCAACCGGGATACGTGAATGTAGCCCTAGTCAAACCAGGCGGCCGTCTGGAATGAGGTAAAATTGTACATGAAAGGGACCTGTTGGGATCAATATCGGTATTTTGGCCTAGCCTAGGTTAACTAGGTAACATATAAGCCCCATGTATAAACACCTGTTACTGATTAAAGTCGGTGAACACTGGATCAACATGTATTCAAAGAATTTAATACATGTACATGTATCAATAACACATTCCTGTTCATAAATCCAAGCTTATTGGCTAAGATGAACATGCAGCACGAGTACAAAAGATTATAATATTTGTACCATCGCCATTTCTTTAAGGAATCCTGTCGAAGGACATGGCAAGCGTACTGTATAAATAATCAATGATTCACGGTGAATACTCAGCTGAACTCCATGCTGGTTAGGTACAATATCCTTTCAGGGGAGTGTTTGAGTAAGAAATTGCAATAATATACACTGTATCATAAAAACTTCTATGGGTTATAGACACACTAGATTAGTCGTATAAATCCTTTTGAACTGAATCTGCCACTGATGAAGACTTATGTAACATGTACTTGTCAGTTTCAAAGGTCAAACAGGGCCACAGTAATCTTAAACAGTGAATCAACACATGTCATATAGGGCCACAGTAATATTAAACAGTGAATCAACACATGTCATATAGGGCCACAGTAATATTAAACAGTGAATCAACACATGTCATACAGGGCCACAGTAATATTAAACAGTGAATCAACACATGTCATACAGGGCCACAGTAATGTTAAACAGTGAATCAACACATGTCATACAGGGCCACAGTAATGTTAAACAGTGAATCAACACATGTCATACAGGGCCACAGTAATGTTAAACAGTGAATCAACACATGTCATACAGGGCCACAGTAATGTTAAACAGTGAATCAACACATGTCATACAGGGCCACAGTAATGTTAAACAGTGAATCAACACATGTCATACAGGGCCACAGTAATGTTAAACAGTGAATCAACACATGTCATACAGGGCCACAGTAATGTTAAACAGTGAATCAACACATGTCATACAGGGCCACAGTAATGTTAAACAGTGAATCAACACATGTCATACAGGGCCACAGTAATGTTAAACAGTGAATCAACACATGTCATACAGGGCCACAGTAATGTTAAACAGTGAATCAACACATGTCATACAGGGCCACAGTAATGTTAAACAGTGAATCAACACATGTCATACAGGGCCACAGTAATGTTAAACAGTGAATCAACACATGTCATACAGGGCCACAGTAATCTTAAACAGTGAATCAACACATGTCATACAGGGCCACAGTATAATCTTAAACAGTGAATCAACTCATGTCATACAGGGCCACAGTAATATTAAACAGTGAATCAACACATATCATACAGGGCCACAGTAATGTTAAACAGTGAGTCAACACATGTCATACAGGGCCACAGTATAATCTTCAACAGTGAATCAACACATGTCATACAGGGCCCCAGTAATCTTAAACAGTGAATCAACAAATGTCATACAGGGCCACAGTATAATCTTAAACAGTGAATCAACTCATGTCATGCAGGGCCACAGTAATAGTAAACAGTGAATCAACACATATCATACAGTGCCACAGTAATGTTAAACAGTGAATCAACAAATGTCATACAGGGCCACAGTAATATTAAACAGTGAATCAATACATATCATACAGGGCCACAGTAATTTTAAACAGTGAATCAACAAATGTCATACAGGGCCACAGTATAATCTTAAACAGTGAATCAACACATGTTATACAGGGCCACAGTAATCTTAAACAGTGAATCAACACATGTCAAACAGGGCCACAGTAATCTTAAACAGTGAAACAACGGAATCTTTAACAGCCCATTGTCATAGAGGTCATACAGGGTCATAAGTCTTTAACAACCAATCAACAACTTGAGGTCATACAGGACCACTTACTGGTAGTAGAAGAAATTATGGTTATGCCAATGGAGACACTGGAGGTTAAAGTTAGAAAAGTGATAAATAGAAGTTCCCCAGCGAGTGAGGGTTGGTTATCATGACTATCTAACTCGAGTTAGTTAACTTTTAAATTGTATACCGAGTGTCATTTACAATTTTAAATTAAATAACGAGAGTTAGATAAACATGATATTCTACCATCACGAGTTTGGGATCCTTTTTCTCCCTTAATGTTCATATTTTATCTGGAAAGCCATATGTTTTTCTTGAAAGTACACTATGTATACATCCGATGGTGGAAACAATTGTCGTGAATCATGACGTCACAGAGGAAGATGACGTCGCAAAGCATTGTTACGTGATGTCATAAGTAAAAAAATTGACCAATGAAATCACGCACAGGGTGTTACTCACTAGTGGGTAACCAAAATTGACTACCAACTCCTAGCATGTTTATCCAATGAATCGGGAGTGAGGAAACCTATAATGATCGTGGGAGGAACAGGAATGGTAACTACCAAGTATTGTTACGTAGGCAGCAGATCAGTTTGGTTTCTCATAAAGAAGACAGAAAGAAAGAGAAATACTGATAGATTTTTCAGAAGGCCTGAAATTGTAATCATGTAGTGAAATACACCTTCGCTAGCCAAGGGCTACGATCCGGTACAATCTACCTACTTTTCTCTTGGAGAGTAGGAAGACCGGATCGTATCAGATCGTAACCCTTGGCTAGCGAAGATGAGTGAAGTACAGCAGGCCATTTATTTACCCCTAAGTATTGAAATAGTAGATGTACAGTACTGACTAATGTACCTGTTGCTTACAGTGTTTGAAGGAGACAGGGTTACACCATCTACGCCTGTACGTCACCATCTGTCGCCTGGCCGCCGGCTGCTTCCTTCCCATGTGGGCACTGTTTGATCTCAGGAGAATCTATGCTCACCATGATTCGGTAAGGTTGTGAGTTCACCTAATGATGATGAACTTGAAAGTAAGATGTGTTCATTTGTGAGTGAGCTTGTGTTCACTTCCCACTGGTGATAGAGCTTTTAGAATTGTATGTGCTCATTGAAGGAAGAGGTATTGATCAGTTGTGGTAAGTTGGACCTAATCCCTGTGTTGTATTATGCTATAAAATTTGTTTAAACTCATTGATGTGTTACTTTAAATGTTGTGCCCACTTGTAAAATGAGCATGTAGAATCTTTTATTAACACTGGTGAGCAAACTTATATAAGTATTTATAACTGGTAAGTGAGTTTGTATAACAGGATCCTCATGATAAAGTGAGTTTTAAAATGGACTGCTGAGCTACTTTAAATGTTGTGCTCACTGGTGATTCGGTGTATTTTGCTCATTATTAATAGTGATTTAAATTGGGATGTCCAGTACTCACTGATTAGTTCAATCGTTGTACTTATTTTCAAATGAACTTACTTAAACCTAGCACAAGTCAAAGAGCTTGACACATTTGTTTGATGCTAATTATTTAACATTGTATGAGCTTATGAAATTGATCGTACTTAAATTATTTGAATAATGTGCTGAGCCTGTATTCATCATGCATGTATCGATGAGCTTGTAAGTAGAGTTCCTGTGTATGTGATCCTGTATAGTTATTGTAGTACCTATTGAGTAGAGTTCCTTTGTATGTGATCCTGTATAGTATTTGTAGTACCTATTGAGCAGTGTTCCTGTGTATTTGATCCTGTATAATTATTGTAGTACCTGTTGAGTAGAGTTCCTGGGTATGTGATCCTGTATAATCATTGTAGTACCTATTGAGTAGAGTTCCTGTGTATGTGATCCTGTATAGTGATTGTAGTAACTATTGAGCAGAGTTCCTGTATATGTGATCCTGTATAGTTATTGTAGTACCTATTGAGCCTGTGTATGTGATCCTGTATAGTTATTGTAGTTCCTATTGAGCAGAGTTCCTGTGTATGTGATCCTGTATAGTTATTGTAGTGCCTATTGAGTAGAGTTCCTGTGTATGTGATCCTCTATAGTTATTGTAGTACCTATTGAGCAGAGTTCCTGGGTATGTGATCCTGTATAATTATTGTAGTACCTATTGAGCAGTGTTCCTGTGTATTTGATCCTGTATAATTATTGTAGTACCTATTGAGCAGTGTTCCTGTGTATTTGATCCTGTATAATTATTGTAGTACCTATTGAGCAGAGTTCCTTTGTATGTGATCCTGTATAGTTATTGTAGTACCTATTGAGCCTGTGTATGTGATCCTGTATAGTTATTGTAGTGCCTATTGAGTAGAGTTCCTGTGTATGTGATCCTGTATAGTTATAGTAGTATCTATTCAGTACAGTTCCTGTGTATGTGATCCTGTATAGTTATTGTAGTGCCTATTGAGTAGAGTTCCTGTGTATGTGATCCTGTATAGTAATTGTAGTACCTATTGAGCAGAGTTCCTGTGTATGATCCTGTATAGTTATTGTAGTACCTATTGAGCCTGTGTATGTGATCCTGTATAGTTATTGTAGTGCCTATTGAGTAGAGTTCCTGTGTATGTGATCCTGTATAATTATTGTAGTACCTGTTGAGTAGAGTTCCTGGGTATGTGATCCTGTATAGTTATTGTAGTACCTATTGAGCCTGTGTATGTGATCCTGTATAGTTATTGTAGTTCCTATTGAGTAGAGTTCCTGTGTATGTGATCCTATATAATTATTGTAGTACCTATTGAGTAGAGTTCCTGTGTATGTGATCCTGTATAATTATTTTAGTACCTATTAAGTAGAGTTCCTGTGTATGTGATCCTGTATAGTGATTGTAGTAACTATTGAGCAGAGTTCCTGTATATGTGATCCTGTATAGTTATTGTAGTACCTATTGAGCCTGTGTATGTGATCCTGTATAGTTATTGTAGTGCCTATTGAGTAGAGTTCCTGTGTATGTGATCCTGTATAGTTATTGTAGGACCTATTGAGTAGAGTTCCTGTGTATGTGATCCTGTATAGTGATTGTAGTAACTATTGAGCAGAGTTCCTGGGTATGTGATCCTGTATAATTATTGTAGTACCTATTGAGCAGTGTTCCTGTGTATTTGATCCTGTATAATTATTGTAGTACCTATTGAGCAGTGTTCCTGTGTATTTGATCCTGTATAATTATTGTAGTACCTATTGAGCAGTGTTCCTGTGTATGTGATCCTGTATAATTATTGTAGTACCTGTTGAGTAGAGTTCCTGGGTATGTGATCCTGTATAGTTATTGTAGTACCTATTGAGCCTGTGTATGTGATCCTGTATAGTTATTGTAGTGCCTATTGAGTAGAGTTCCTGTGTATGTGATCCTGTATAGTGATTGTAGTAACTATTGAGCAGAGTTCCTGTATATATGATCCTGTATAGTTATTGTAGTACCTATTGAGTAGAGTTCCCGTGTATGTGATCCTGTATAGTTATTGTAGTTCCTATTGAGCAGAGTTCCTGTGTATGTGATCCTGTATAGTTATTGTAGTACCTATTGAGAAGAGTTCCTGTATATGTGATCCTGTATAATTATTGTAGTAACTATTGAGCAGAGTTCCTGTGTATGTGATCCTGTATAGTTATTGTAGTACCTATTTAGCAGAGTTCCTGTGTATGTGATGTAGTACCTATTGAGTAGAGTTCCTGTGTATGTGATGTAGTACCTATTGAGTAGAGTTCCTGTGTATGTTATCCTGTATAGTGATTGTAGTAACTATTGAGCAGAGTTCCTGTGCATGTGATCCTGTATAATTATTTTAGTACCTATTAAGTAGAGTTCCTGTGTATGTGATCCCGTATAATTATTGTAGTACCTATTGAGCAGAGTACCTATTGAGCAGAGTTCCGGTGTATGTGATCCTGTATAGTGATTGTAGTAACTATTGAGCAGAGTTGCTGTGTATGTGATACTGTATAGTTATTGTAGTACCTACTGAGCAGAGTTCCTGTGTATGTGATCCTGTATAATTATTGTAGTAACTATTGAACAGAGTTCCTGTGTATGTGATCCTGTATAGTTATTGTAGTACCTATTGAGTAGAGTTCCTGTGTATGTGATCCTGTATGATTATTTTAGTACCTATTAAGTAGAGTTCCTGTGTATTTGATCCTGTATAGTTATTGTAGTACCTATTGAGCAGAGTTCCTGTGTATGATCATGTATAGTTATTGTAGTACCTATTGAGCAGAGTTCCTGGGTATGTGATCCTGTATAGTTATTGTAGTACCTATTGAGCAGAATTCCTGTGTATGATCCTGTATAGTTATTGTAGTAACTATTGAGCAGAGTTCCTGTGTATGTGATCCTGTATGGTTATTGTAGAACCTATTGAGTAGAGTTCCTGTGTATGTGATCCTGTATAATTATTTTAGTACCTATTAAGTAGAGTTCCTGTGTATGTGATCCTGTATAGTTATTGTAGTACCTATTGAGCAGAGTTCCTGTGTATGATCCTGTATAGTTATTGTAGTACCTAATGAGTGATCATTTGCTAAGATGAAGTACTGATATAGGCTTCATACTTTGCCAACTCTTCTTGTTTTGGACCATAAAATTGAGCATTTTTAACCAGTGAATTTGTTAAACTATTCCTATTTTCTAAGATCTGTTGGTTTCATCTGAAAGAACAGCTCAAAAGATTTTGTTTTAAAGTGTTATTTTTTCCGTATGGTGTATATACACACATTTTATTTGAGATTTTAATTCTGAGCATGCGTAATTTCCTCCAAAAAAAAGATTCAAGAAGTTGACAAGTATGAAGCTGATGTGAATGTTAGCCAATTTTCATTGTGATTACTTTTTTTAATTTATAACTGCATTATACGCTGTCTCGTTATATTTGGCATCATAATGTTTTAAAACCCTTATAATTAGCTTACGCGACACAACCATACTGAGTCTGACTTTGATTTTGTTTTGTCTGGAAGATGTTGGAGGGCAGAATGCTTAATTGTATGGTCCTGCTGCTGGTGGATGGATTCTTTAGCATGCTACAGAATGTGTTTGCCTTCACTGTCATCGCTATGGTAGCACCCCTTAGTTACGCTGTGGCCAACGCCACTAAACGGATAGTGATCATTGGGGCATCTCTGTTCTTCCTGCGTAACCCAGTCACCCCCATGAATCTACTGGGAATGGCCATCTCTGTATTTGGTGTCCTTTCATATAACAAGGTAAGAAGTAGAGTATAGTTATATTTCTCCTGTTTGGACATTCTCACAGCCATCCTCAGAGGTTTTGGCAGCTACTACTCTTAGTTTTAACATTCAAGTAACTTATACATTGTATATGATTAGCAGGTTTCACAGATAAATTATCATATCAACCTTTGTGATTTTTAGTTAGCAGAGCTTTTATGTACAAGACACACGATCAGAACTGTCTATGCTGTCTATGTACAAAATTCAAACATGTTGAAGCTTTCAAAGAGGACCAATAGTTTTGATAAAACATGTACTGAATTACAATATGGGAGACACGTAGCTGTCCGTCCATTGATCAGAAGGAACTAATACAGTAATGGAACAGTTTTTATATGTCTGTATAAATCAGAGAGGGTAGGGGATACCAGCTGCTCCAAAATATCACTTATACTTTTGAGTGTAACTTAGACTTAGCTAAAATTGTCAATTTTCCCATATGCTTGATATAGAGACTTTGTTTTTGTATCTATATAATATAGGAAAAGGTGTTGCCTTGTCACTAAATGTATGATCTGTTTTACACAGGTGAAATATGACCAGAATGTGGCAATGCGTCATGCTGCAACACTTCCACTTGTAAAAAGTACATCTAACTTGGAGGCGATGGACAAGAATCATGTATCGATCATGTTGCATCACTCTCAAAGTGCCTCAGATCTAAAACTTCACTCAAATGGTCTTACAACAGACCAACTTCACAACCACATACTGTTCAACAACAATCATTTCCAGTCTAACAATGTGACTCTAATACCAGTACAGTCTAGTGAGAGCACAGGAGACAGAGAATGGCAGACAACCAGAGATCGTGGCAATGTACATTCCAGGATGGTTTATCATGTCTAATGGCCCAGTCCTTGTTAATTCATCATGTCTAATGGCCCAGTCTTTGTTAATTCATCATGTCTTATGGCCAAGTACTTGTTAAACTGTGTTACTTGTTAGTGGTGTATGAATACAGTCATTTTATAATACCTTGTTTTTAATTTTAAAACAGATTTTAAGATTTACACTTCGATCATCAGAAGAGAAATGCCTAAATGTCTTGTACTCGTAGAGAAAAATATTTTGTGACATATTTGAATCTCTTGTACTTTGGAAGAAAAATGTATTGTGAAGTGTTGGTATCTCTTGGGTGATAAAGTTCCTCACATTTTTTCTAGTCAATTATTTTTATATGATGTACGCAAAAAGAAGAATGTACCTTTGAGTAGCCTTGTATGCTCCATGAGTGTTTTTTTAAATGAATGTTAATATGTTAGACTCAGATGTACCAGATGGCTTGATTTAGTACTGTGTTCATGGAAGCTTTCGCCAAGTCAGATACATTTTGTCATTCCCTTCACTGTTTAAAGTCATTATCATCCAGTGTTAACTTCGTCCTTCACAAGTCATTACTTCTGCTATATGATGTACCATCTTGTACTAATACTCGCTGTCACAATAAGTCTGGGGGCGTCAAATACACAAGTTTGATTGTGGCAAAACTTTTACTGTATCATGAAGTATAATAAATATCCATTAGTCTTTTAGTTCTCGATCTTAATATAGAGTTAAAAATTGATTATGCATTAAATCATGGAAGATTCCTAATAACTGAATTAACAAGTAGCCGTTATTTTAGATTATGTAATAAATATTTTGAAAGCCTAATCACTGAATTAACAAGTAGCCATTATTTTAGATTTATGTATTAAATATTTTGAAAGTGATTTCAAATATTACTGTTTTGTTAGTTCATACACCAAAATCAGGAATTTAAAATAATTAAGAGAAAATAATTCTAAGAAGACACAACCAAAAGTATTGATCTAAAAATAAAAACAAATCATCATTATCATCATCATCATCTTCCAGGTCATTGGTGGCAATACAGGTATCAACGATCATTGTGGAGTTCTGATATCTATCTTTGTATTACATATATAACAACTTAGTATGAACAATTTAGTTTCTGTCTGAATTTTTTTTACCATGAATTTTATTTGTGAATATCTGTTTATGAATTGCACTTCGCAAATAGTAATAATGGTTTGAATTTCCAGAAATGACCAAAATTTGGATTATACTAGAATTACATGCCTGTCAAAAGGTTAACATACCTCCATGGTCCACTATTAGGTTTAAAAACATTTTCTTGGATATGTGCCTCAATAATTATTCAGGATACGTTTGAATTCATGATTAATTTTTCTCTCAAATTGAAATTATTGAAAGTAAAAAAGATATGTTACCAATAAATGTACATAATAGACCAGTAAGCAAACAGATGTCATTGAGTGGTTTCACTTCATTAAGCATCCTATTGACAGCCAATGTAATTTAGACTCGGTTGTAGAGGAGTGTTAATTACAAATGAACAAAAATTGTAATTTCAAGACGTCATGAAATGACTCAACATTCCAAATTGAGATTTGTACATTTTCATCGGGTATTTATGAATATACTTTTATGGTGCATTCATCCCGTAATGAAATTACAAAGTTTTTTGGATATGAAAAAATGAGCTGGCAGAATTTGTTTGTGGTTTAACGTCCTCTCATCATCAGCCTGCAGGGTCATATAAGGCCAGGGGGCTGGCACAAGTACCCATATATAAATAGACCATATTGTTTTTAGGTAAACTTCTATTGTGTTCCATTGTGTAACACTTTTACCCAAACTTATAGTTGCAGAATAAATGTCTGAAGTTTAAACATGTTTTATTGCCAAAACGTTAAGAGGATAAGTCGTAATTACTAAAAGTTAAGTTGGTTTACCAGCTTCCTTTACAGTTCTTTGCAAAGTTTTTGTTGATACACAATCTTGTAATCATTATCAATTGGTGCTGATAATTGTATTGGAGACTTTCAATGTTTACGCAAATAAGATTTAAAAAAAGCTTTTTTGCTACCATTGTCTTCCTCATCCACTGCTTTCTGGTGAAAATGTGGATAATACCCCGAGTGATATTTTTAGCTGGATGATGTTTTTACCTGGTATTACTAACACAATTTCAAGTACAAAGCATAGATTTTCTTGTAAAGAATCGTCTAATATTGCTAATATTTTCTGTAAATGTTTGCACATCAGAGGTTATCATATTGCTGGAAGAAATCACATTTTATGGCCTGTGTGTTATGCAAACTAATATACAACACCATGTGCAAGAACAGGCATACAGGTATTTATACAAAAGTATAATTACATTCTAATACAAACTGTCATGTTCAGTTGGTGAATGTAATTTGACGAGGTATTTGCTATTTGTACTAATATTATTGATTACATAGCCAATGAGAAAACCATTAACACAAAAACACCGGGGAATGAATTATAATTTAAAGTTTAATAAATTTATTATCTTGTGCTGTTATCATTTTCACTTAGATGAAATGTTTCATTTGGAGTGGATGATTTTGAGGGTGGTTATATATTTTTGTTATGAATTGTTGACTATTTATTGTTGTTTTATAGAACAAATGTCTTTTTGAGTATGTATGATGGATATGATAAACTTGAATTGCATGCTGACAATTAACAGATACATAATGTGTTCTGAAACCTCTGCCACAAGGTCAGTGTGATATGATCAGTAGGTACTTTATTTGCCGTTGGTTATGGTCATCTATCTGTCAGTTTTTTTATTTTTGCATTTTCCAGTTCTGAAAACAACTTATCCAAAATGGTCAAATTGAACTTTAGACTTTAATGATCATTTGGTCAGATTTTTTTTCTTTTTTGTGGTCATAAGCAAAATATGAAATTGTTCAAGATCATTACAGTTTTATTCGGTCATTTCAATAAGTCAATTCAAGTATGCTTAGCTCAGAAACTTAGCTGTGGTTCAAGAAATGCCAGAACTGTCCAGAGGTCAACGTTAACTGTTGATAGTATTGGTATTGAACAGTCTCTTAAGAACAGAGGTTGCTATCAATGCTATCAATGAAATATTTAATTATGTGCCCATTCAAGTTTGTTTGAAAGAGAATTTTCATGTCATTATTAATTTAGGGAGTTATATGCTACATAACATATTAACACTCAGATTTTTTTTAGAGTTGTCTCCCTTAATATTTTTGAAATTGGCATGAATTTATTTTTTTATTATAGTTCAGATGTGTCTTCAACTGACAAACTTGACCCAAATGCCTATTTATTCTGTATCTCTTAAGGTACATGTGACATACCTCCTTAACATTGCTTTAGCTTTAAATGGTGAGAAATGTTTCCGTTAGAAGTTTTAATATTTTGTGTTTATTAAGAATGACCAGGACCCAGGATCATGAAACACCTCAAGTTTTGAATTTAAGTTTTTACTTAACCAATCACATAACGTCATAAAAAGGGACATCAGACATGATTGGCTAAGCAAAAACTATAGTCTGAGATTATTTCATGATTCCGGGGCCTGGTGATCAGATGTATATAAGACCCTTTCATACCCAAGGATGATAGAGAAATTCCGCGCGGAGAGTTTCCAAATTGGGCAAACCACAAGGCTTGCCAAGGGTTTTGTACCAATTTGAAAGTCTTCAGAGTTTTTCTCATTCCATTCACCAGAACTAGCTCAGAAACCTCCATTTTCCACAGCATTATTTGTATGGTCCTAATTGGTTGAATTCACATACAAATGTAATTGTTAACCCATTGAGAATGCCAAGTTGGGTTTAAGATAGAAATTTGTTACACCCTTTTTTGCATTGGATATGTGCAGAGGAATGAAAGTGTTGTTTTTATTCGAAGATGATTAAAAGGTCATGCACTGGGTTCAAGGTTATATATAGATCATTTTCTACAGAAATGATATAGGGTCAAAGGTCAAATAAACATATGTATGTATTCTTTAATAAATATCCATTGAGGGGGGCAAAGTTTAGTACAGACTTATGAGTAGTGATTATCATATTGGTCTGTCAGAAAATATACAGATTCAGTGATAAATATCCATGGTGGGGGGGGGGGGGGTAAAGTTCAGTACAGACTTATGAGTAGTGATTACCATATTGGTCTGTCAGAGAATACACAGATTCAGTGGTACAGTCATTAGTTTACTGAAAATCCTAGTTGTATTTATCAGAATAAACGTCAGGTGCAATTATTGTATTTATGATAGGTTATATACATTTTGTTGTTTACAGGCAACTTGGAAATTATTACTTAGTGTTCTGGTGGTAAGATCTTCATTCAAAAGAAAAAAACAGTACTTCTGTTTTACAGCTGTATTGACATGGAGTGATTATGAATGACTTCAAAATATTATGTTTACAGTTTGTAAAAATAACAAATTCAAATTTGTGATTAATTAAAATCACAAACTAAAAATAAAACAGTAGCCAAGCCATTGAGTTGCCCAGATTTATATTGTTACTTTTCCTTTCACAAAGATTAAAAAATCGCGACAACTTCACATCTATCTGTCTGTGTTATTTGATTTAAACCAGGTATATATATAATATTTAACTTTCATGTGATGCTTGACATGTATGAAAAAATTGAAAACTGAAAAAAAACCAATTGTATGCACAGTACTTGTGTTGAAGAATAAATGGTGACTGTCACCCAGGCAGCGGTCAAGTGGTCAATATATTAATGACGTTGTTCAAATATGTAAGATGAACACAATATCGGCCCTATCTTTAGTGGTTAACAAATATATACTTGTTACCGTTATATACATGTATACTACATTTCGGACATTACGTGTAAACGCGCAAATCCAATTAGAAAAAACCCAATAATGATCATTTGCCTCAGGCTGCAGTATTTTTTAACTTAGCCGTAATTCCGAGTAACAAATGATCAGTAAAGTATACGAAACCGTTAAGTGGACAAGATTATGTATAAGTTAACGCTTTATTTTCGATTTGTTAGATGAAAGTGACGGGGTAACATCGTCCTGTCGGGCACATAAACGTACACCTGAGTATTCTAATGTACGAGTAACCTCCCTTTGACCGTTCCAAGAAAGATTGAAAGCTTTCTCGCTCTTGGTATCTATTTATATGATGCAATGTGGAGTTTTTTTTAGTAATTTGTCATAAATTGAAAGAAAGGAAAACCGGATAACGCAAGCAGGGCGACATTTTGAGTAATTTAGATAATCAATATCTCTGCTTACGCGACTGGTATATGCTGTCGCGATATCTTGTTCAAAAGTAGCACCAATGACGGGATGCTGACGCCGTAAATGCGCCAATCCAATTTCAATAAACTACATGAAGTCTGGTAGGATTTCCACACACCGTAACACTTCCCCCACTTAAACAGTCCTGTTAGCGGTACGGCAGGTTGCAATGCGTTTACTGCGACACCTCAGATTTTACATTCCTGCCCATCACTAAGTGACAGGCAGAATCTATGCTTGTACAGGCTCGATAGATGGCGCGTCAAGATGGGCCCTGTAATGTCCTCGCTTGTCCAACTTGCACCAGCTGGTCGTTATACAGGGAATGACGTTTTTGCAGACAGTCGGAAATCAACTCAAACTCTGCCTCTGGACTTATGACAGCCACAGAAAATACGTATGCTGATAAAAAAAAAATCAATCGGCATTTGGTGAAAAAGGCATTTGTTTGATTTTTGACCAGTCACTGGTATGATTTACAAATTTCTTTGGGAATGTGATGCGATTTGGGCCACCAAAGACTTGAAAACTTGACCGATATCAAGGAATACGGTTCTTTTAGTAGGTATTCCACTACCAAATTCATTTAGTACAAAAACGATGGTTTATTTTTGCTGATTTAAGGTTGATGTTCTGATTTTTATGTGAATGTGTTAACTACTTTTTTTTCATTGGTATGTTATCACAAAATACTGAACACATCCATCTTCGCAAGGCTTAGAGACGAATCCTTCCAGTCAGCCATGCTACCAAGATTGGTCTCGAGTCCGGCCTCGCCCCTAGGGACTTGGCCCATGGGTCAATATATTGTAACGATTGAGAACCAGATATGTAATTTCTGGTCTTGAAGGGATCGGAATACACTCCTGATTCTAAGAATGACCCCGGACGTCCTGTCGACCCTTTTGGACTTATTCCTTGTTTTACGGACGAAGAAATTACCTTGTTTGATTTAACGAATCCTTTTGTATATACCTGGAATGCCCATGTTGTGTGCTGTAAGAATATAGGAAGCCACGTGAGCCTATTCTCGGTCTTCACTTACTGATATATCTGTACCATATTTGACATAATTTAATTCGAAAACTACCAGGTGGGCTATTGAGGCCTATGTGCTTCAGATAGTGATACATTTGGTGACAATATGTGTAGACGTCTTGCTACTGTCCTTATAAGCCCAACTATCATCATTTATATGTGTCGTGTTATCAACGATCATTGAAATATACAATTCGTGAACAGTAACAAGTGTTCTCTAGCATAGTAACATGTGTACGACAGGCATTACTGTGTCACGCTATTACAGAAAACAAAATGTATATGATGTTTACAATTGGTCACATCAAAGTGCAATACATGTGACATCAAAGAATTAATATTAAACTCTATAATATACAAATCGATAAGTGAGGTGGAAGGCCAACATACCAAATATGCAAGTTCTTTTTGCAACACGCATTCAGTTCACAACAACAGAACCACTTTTAAATAATGCATACCCAATAATATTGTTAACTTAAAAATACCGATTCCCATGTGATAAAATCACTTGATATGTTTAAAGCGAAATTCCTTATCAACGTCACCAAGAATGCAGCGAATTATGAATCTCGAATGTTAATCAATCAATTTATTTTAGCATTGTTACAGATCAACCGTCAAAGGTTAATAATTTCTACGACGAAAACGCTGTTCTCAGGATATGTGAGATCCTGAGCTGGATACCTGACTTGTTCTCAGCGTGTAGATTTCACTGTTAGTATTGTTACACGTAACCTTGACCCTTGGACCTATCAGCGAATTTACCACATTTTTGAGCCGTGTGATAAAACATTTAAATTTTCACACGCTGTTTTTCCGTATTGTTAGATCCGCTCCAGCGGTTACGCATAAAGTGTTAATACTCGGGTCCACGCCATTTTGTATGCTTCCCACGCCAACCAAGAAAGCCGGGATTTGGCAGACGACATGTAAACAACGAATGGTAACTCTGGGAAAGAAACATGCGGTCAGGATTGTCCAAGTGGTCAAGATGTAAGGCTTCACTGGGGTAAAACTGGCTGGATAAAAGCTAATAAGACAGTGGACAAATGGACTGTACAGGCCACAGGTAAAATGTTAATGAGACGTCAGTTGGTACTTGCAGCGAGATTTTCCTATGAATAAAGTTACAGTTGTTACAATGATATGTAATGTTACGAAATGACATAAATATATATATATAAGTATATGCTTCGAGATTCCGACATGCAAAGCGTTATGTTAACGGGCAGTACAAGGTGCACTTGATTAATACGTACTGAACACAGGAAATCATTAACCATTCATCTTCCCATTAGCATACCCGATGTATCACTCGATTGTTCCCGATACCCTGTACTACTGGGTGTCCAGGTCTCCGCAGAATATATCAACTTCCTATTTCTCAATCGGAACACCCGACCCATCCCGACATAGTTGGATTATTCAGGTACATGCAAACAAGGTTTTGTATATCGTGATATTTATAACTAAGCTACATGTATATGGTAACGGTATATCCATCAACAGTGCTTGTTGAATCACAGAGCATTGTTGTCGCTATTATGAAATTAAGTAATAATATTACGTCTTCCTAGCTAAAACAACATGTGTAATGTTTTTGTATACATGAGAGAAGAAGGGTGGGGGGATGAAGAGTGTTGAAATAGTGTGTGTTAAATCATCCTCTGCTCATCCTTCAGGTCAGGGATCGAGAAAATAATACAACTGCTGTTACCCACTGCATGTATCATAGAAGACGACTAAAGCGGTAACCCCCTGCAGAATTGGGGATTTGCTTTTGTGCCCTCTACTTGGAGACATGAAAGCGATCAAAATAAATATGCTGCACCAATTTTAATAGTTGGGATCTTTATATTTCTCTCTACTTCTAACTCCTTTCTTTTTCCTATTGCCTTGCTTGGCAATACCTCAATTTCGGCTTTAATGTTGAACGTTCGCCCAGGTAAGGAAAGCAATGGGTTCTGTCCCCAGGCAGGGACATACAAAAGTCCTTAAAACTGGAAGTTGTTATTCCCTGCTTAGCGTTCAGCATTAAGAGAAATGGCAACAACTGGTTCACCCGTTGTCGGTATACTGTGACTAGACGGTGTACTGTTCTGGGTGCCTTCGGCATGGTATTTCAGTGAGATATCACTATACAGACGGCATCAGATCCGCGCTATCACAAGGTGGCAAACACTCATGTAGGCACGTCCTTAAATTTCGGATAACTTAAACAAGATTAAAACTGCAGAGTATTGAAGTGGACGTAGAAACAGTGTCTCGAACTTTTATGTGACATATGCATATTTAGTATGTGAGCATCAATGGTTTGGTTTGGTTTAATTTTGTTTAACGTCCTATTAACAGCTAAGGTCATTTAAGGACGTACCTCCATGTGTGTATTGTATGCGTGCTTGCTTGTGTCTATGCAAGAGTATGTTGTTGTGCTTGCCTCCTTGTGATAGCGCGGATCTGATGCCGAATTTATAGTGCTATTTCACTGAAATTCCATGCCGAAGGCACCCATCACAGTACACCGCCTGGTCACATTATACTGACAACGGGTAAACCAGTCGTTGCTATTCCCCTAAATGCTGATCGTTAAGTAGGAAAAAACAACTACCATTTTTAAAGACTTTGGTATGTCCCTGCCTGGGGACAGAACCCATTGCCTTCCTCACCTGGGCGAACGCTCAACATTAAAGCCAAGAGTAGGGTGTTGTCAAGCAAGGCACTAGAAAAATTTCCCGATCCCCCACCTGAATGGTATCTATAACTTGTCTGCAATTAAAGACACATGTAGTAACCCAACCGCGCTAGAACCGTTTAAAGACGAATATCGGTTTGTTTAAAAACTTCAAAGGATTGGTAATGCAGCAAACCGGTGGTTTTACAACAACTAAAGTCACGTGACAACGGTATTCAAACATGATTTTAGTGTCATCTCACTGAAACGTCATAACCTGGACACGGCACCAGGACACTCGACCCGGTCAGCTACCTAGATAAACACAGTACTAGGATACTCGACCAGGTCAGGTGCACTAATTAGTTTATTACCTTTTATTAAAAACTGAATACTGTAAATAACAGAAATCAGCCTCGGCTTATACAGTCAATAATTTTCTCCTCGGAAGGAGATTTCTTTGGCCTACCCTGAGGGTAAGAAAGATTCTTTTAATATGAACACCTGTCTAACCTTTCTTTCAGTTGAGGTGATCATACTTACCACGGAATTAGATTATCTAAGTCCGTGGACTTAACATGATGCTGCAGTTGTACCGGAGCCCTAGTCTGTGGTCCGTCCTTGCTCTCTGCGCATACGCACTGAACCTGTTGTTCCACGTGATTGCCTACTGCTCTGACCAATGGGCAACATGTACATTCAAGGGCAGGCACACATGGTTCGGACTCTGGCAGGGATGCTGGACTGATGACGTCACTAAAGAAACAATGTGTTCGAACAGCGTTTTCCAACACCCTTTTTTCAATACAGGTAAACGTAAGTGTTGTACATGTAGGTATCGGCCCGCAAAAACAGAAGGTTCAGCTTTATTAAATAGTGTATAATGTGTATATCATATTTATTTTCGTATTTCATATTTATCTAAATCGAGTTACGATGTAAGTTCCGAAAGGTACACTCTTTGGAAATTAGAACTTGATTAAGACCGAATTACGTAAAGATGGTGAAAAGGGTTACGAGTTTGGAATTTTTGTTCTACTACTTTTCCTCATAATATTTTCTAATGGTCGACATCATTGCTATATATTCACATACAATTTCATTCAGGATGACAAGTTTGCTAACTGATAAAAAAAATCACACAACTATGCTTTCATAGTATAATTTAAATATTTTTGATAATGTTTCATGTCAATCAATAAAGTTTACTTCTCGTAAATGCAAAACATGTGTTATAGTACAACATGATTGTCCATATTGAAGTCAAACGGTCAGAGTTGATACAAGGAGAGCTGTGGTGGGCATTCCTTTATCACACGGTCAACGTGTTGTTCATGAATACGTCTAAGTCAGATAGTTTGCACAAGAATTTATGTAAAACGAATAATTGTGACGTCAAATATAATATGAAATTGAAATGACTTCACAGACTGTCAGATAATAGTATGACGTCTCGTGTAAAATAGAATCTCTGTAAGATCCTTTAGGCCTACTAGTATTCACATGGTTCGCATCGAGGCCGGCATTAGCAGACTGGCGATGAGTTCTGTTCTGACCAAATAGGCATGCTTACCTAATATTTATATTAAATTATCAGGGGTCATGAGCGATTTTTTTCACATGAGAATTTGAACAGTCCCATAATGAAATGCAGAAAGATAACAACTGTGAATGATATCTTTTTTATTTATTCTCAAATAGTTTTCGGTATTATCGTTTTGTGATTAGACAGTTGCACTCTTTTCAATGTTCAAATGAACTAAACGTTGTCGGACGATTGATGTTGGCCGCCATGTGTTCTGACTTTTAATCTCGATACTTCTGTGTTTGTCTGGAGAGTTGTATACCCTGAACCTTATTTTGGTCTATTTCAGACACAGATTGGCACAAAGGTGCCCAAGTTCTGATGACTATTTCCCTCATCGTCTTGTTATTCACGGAAGTCGTCCTCATTGGTTACGCATGCGTGGTGAAACTGGAATCCCACAAACCCCGGATGATCGGAATGCTGGTGGGGCTGTCTATTTCCGAAGGTTGGTTTACATTTTACTCGTCATATGTATTGTTGTATCATTTGTGTTTTAAGAAACTTCAGTTAAAGTGATAATTTTAATCATTTAAGAGTAAAAATATGATAAAAATCTGCCAAGATTGTAATTTTTGCGCAGAGCTCAATGATTACACTGACAAGGAAGCTCCAAAATTACATGGTGTTTTTTTGCTATATCGTAATTATGAAAACATGAAGTTTCAAACCTTATACCAACGTGACGTTTGTGTTATTAATGCATGCGACTTTGACAGCAATTCGTATTGACTGGATAACGTAACACTAGTGTAAATGATATGTACACCACCGTATGTAAGGTAACGTAAGTTTTGTAAGATATTATTCTTCATACAGTAAATACAGTGTACCTAACCACTACTGCCACTTACCATCAATGCCACTCCAGGGGTGTGATAAGATTTCACCCCTGATTGCCTCTCTGTTTTGTTAACCCCTAGCAGTGATGGCATGAAGTTGTGGTGATTTGTTTTGATTGCTGCTTAGTTCCCTTGTCATCTTCCGTCTCCTTATCCTAGCGTTTTCTGTATTTTGGAATCGTCTTCAGAGATGTCCGCCGCGGAGCTGTTATAATCGTAACCTGTCGTACTATAACTGATTTTTCAATACGCCATTGCTGCTGCTACAGCTTACTGTCTGCTGTTAGTGATTGGAATACTGTACCAATCATTTTATCAATTCTTTATACCAAAAACTGTAACAATTTATTTATTAGTCATCCAGTTGTTTCCGTACTCTTCTGTCACTCATACCAGCCCACGACACGTTCCGTTGTGTGCACTGCTGTTTGAATTCCTGTCGCTTCCTCTCCCTCATATGACGTTACACTGTCTGCTTTTGATGATACAATGGCTAAGAGCTTCTCAGTACTGTGATCAGGTGGTACGATCCTTGCTTTATCATATTTTATATCTGTTTACTGTTGATATCTCTCTCCACTCTGGTACCCCCGGTCGCCTGGTGGTTACGAAAACTTCGTAGATTCCTTTCAACACTGGCACATTGTTTCTCTGTTCCTCCTGCCCGGAACCGTTGAAATAAGCTTGACTGTTGCAGTATCAACCGTCTTGTCGACCCTTTTATACTCTTCCTTTTCCTAAGACTGATGATAGTGATAATAGTGTTTTACTTATGTTTCTTGTCGTCTCTTCATCGTCTATTCCTGATTGTCATCCAGTGTTTTTCTTAGAGGTCACGAATTCACATTTTGAGGCGTAGACAGGGGGATACCGGAACACAACCACAATATTACTAAATGTAAATACATCGTCCTGCAGTCCCTTTCTTTACAACTGATTCCCGGCCTCTTTCCTTGTGTTAAGAACATCCGAGGCACATATCATTCTGGGATCCTTTTTACTCCACAATGAAGATACACACTCAACCGAAGCTCCATGCTAATATCCGCGATTGCGCGCTTTGTCTTCTATCGTAGGAAAGTTTTTTTGCAACGCTCGGTCAGTTTAATGTTACCCTCACAATTACCATGAATGGATTTTTGACGCCAGGACCCTAGAACAAAGAGAGAAACTGGGCGGAAGTTTGTTTTGACAATATCTGGAAAGACTGTGTCCAACCACAATCCCATTGTGTTCAATCAAATATCCCCCCTTGCATGCATTCCCTTTCATTTGATTTCATTTCTTAGTGCTTTACCTTCCGACTTGTCTCTAAGCTCCCTTAGGACCTTTTTCTCAACCTATAGCGTTCTGTGGTGAGGGCAACGTGGTATATCGGCAACGCATGAGCAAATAGATTTATTATTTTAATTTGATACCAGTTGCAAAATGTCCGAGCACGTCAGTCGTCTGTGTTGTTTTCCAGCAAGTCGATGTATCCCCCTCTCGATACTTAAATGTGTCCTCTTTTACCACGAACCATTTCTTCATTTTCACCTTGTCTGATGTTCCCTATGAAGGAAAGGATGATCATAATGCTTGAAAATAAAAAGAAACGAGAGGAATCCATCTTTTATACTGATAACAAAACATGGAAAATATTTCTACATGTACCTACAAAGGATTGTCTTCTTTAGATAATTGACTTTAACATCATGTCTGATTGTAAAACAAGCCTGATGTCAGGTAAGGTACTGTAATAAATTGATATGGATTACAAGGGTAATAGTTACATGTATTAACTAGGTAGTTCCTATGGTTCACAGGTTCTTATCACCCGGTGAATTAAAGACACATGCAAATGTTAATTTGGGATAAGATACATTGCATTTTACGGGATTCATTTCCTGGCTTAAAATGGCCCTGAACTGGTATCACCATGAACGAAGAGAAATGTCTCATCTAACAAACAAACAGTAAATATAATCTTGTTGAGAATATAGATGTAATACAGTTCTTTTGAAACCTATATAGAAATTTACATTAGATATTTTTTACACAATCATTTGGCATCGGTGTACTCGAGACTCATCAATTGTCAAACAGTATGGCCCAAAGCGTGGATAGCTGTAGTTGAGGCGTAAAACCTGAAACGTGTACATAAGAAACATAATGATATGATATAATTTGTTTAGATGAGAATTTCTTGTATAGCAAAGGATTGATACTTGGCCACTGTTCATTGTGTGTTCCAGGGGCCTTCACGCTGGTCAGTCTGGAGCTGTACCGAAACGAAGCTCAAAGTAACCACTTATTCAGTGACGTCACTTTCGGCTATGCATTTGTGTGTGGAGCGCTTTCCGTGATTTGCAATATAGCGTTTCTCGCGTGTATTTGGAGGGACAGTGGTTGGACGCCATCATGGCAATGTTTAAAACACAGACACAAAAATGAACCCAACAATGCTTGCTTTGCTGTTTGTGGTAATCCCGCAGATGATCAAGATGCTGGATGGTAATCCCGCAGATGATCAAGATGCTGGATGGTAATCCCGCAGATGATCAAGATGCTGGGTGGTAATCCCGCAGATGATCAAGATGCTGGATGGTAATCCCGCAGATGATCAAGATGCTGGATGGTAATCCCGCAGAGGATCAAGATGCTGGGTGGTAATCCCGCAGATGATCAAGATGCTGGGTGGTAATCCCGCAGATGATCAAGATGCCACCTCGATAGATAGGATGACGGGAAATATATAGATATATGGTGATGATTTAAGTCTCCGATCAAAGTTTGAAAACTTCTATCCATTGTAACTCTGTCGTTTCGTCTTTACATGTGATACTTCTGTCTTTATACGCGTTGTTTTGTCTTTCTATCCATTGTAACTCTGTCGTTTCTTCTTTACATGTGACACTTCTGTATTTACATGCGTTGTTTTGTCTTTCTATCCATTGTAACTCTGTCGTTTCGTCTTTACATGTGATACTTCTGTCTCTAAATGCGTTGTTTTGTCTTTCTATCCATTGTAACTCTGTCGTTTCGTCTTTACATGTGATACTTCTGTCTTTAAATGCGTTGTTTTGTCTTTCTATCCATTGTAACTCTGTCGTTTCGTCTTTACATGTGATACTTCTGTCTTTAAATGCGTTGTTTTGTCTTTCTATCCATTGTAACTCTGTCGTTTCGTCTTTACATGTGATACTTCTGTCTCTAAATGCGTTGTTTTGTCTTTCTATCCATTGTAACTCTGTCGTTTCGTCTTTACATGTGATACTTCTGTCTCTAAATGCGTTGTTTTGTCTTTCTATCCATTGTAACTCTGTCGTTTCGTCTTTACATGTGATACTTCTGTCTCTAAATGCGTTGTTTTGTCTTTCTATCCATTGTAACTCTGTCGTTTCGTCTTTACATGTGATACTTCTGTCTCTAAATGCGTTGTTTTGTCTTTCTATCCATTGTAACTCTGTCGTTTCGTCTTTACATGTGATACTTCTGTCTCTAAATGCGTTGTTTTGTCTTTCTATCCATTGTAACTCTGTCGTTTCGTCTTTACATGTGATACTTCTGTCTCTAAATGCGTTGTTTTGTCTTTCTATCCATTGTAACTCTGTCCTTTCGTCTTTACATGTGATACTTCTATCTCTAAATGCGTTGTTTTGTCTTTCTATCCATTGTAACTCTGTCGTTTCGTCCTTATATGATTGATGAAATGAAACCGGAGTATAGAGCCTGAAAACATTGTTTTTATTTTGGTCTTACAAAACTTGTTAGACAAGACCACGTGTTACCCCAGCTACATGGCAAAGACAAACTAATCTTTAAAATACAACACCTATGTGAATGCATCTCAAATGCAATGTATGTGTCTCAATAGACAATAAAAATGTCACCAATTATCGCCTGTTTTTGCTCACAAATATTACTCATCAATGACGCATATTGTAAAATAAATGACACTCAAACGCGATTGCTTATAGTTTTACATTCTTTGATCAAAGTGGCGTGCGGATAAATAAAGTTGTTTCCTGTCCTTAAAATGTGCCTCAATCCATTTTGATATGCTTCCTCTAATTCCCAGTGCTTCACGTCTCTAATCACTTTTGGGGGACAGTATTAAAGGTTAATTGGAAATCTAGATAGACAATACCTATACAGTCGCCTTCATCGATCATCTTTGTTAAATCATTTAGAACCTGTAATAGTGGCCGAGTGTTGATCTGCCCTCACAGAATCAGTATTGATCTCCATGTAGAGGTTTCCTGTAATAGTGGCCGAGTGTTGACCTGCCCTCACAGAATCAGTGTTGATCTCCATGTAGAGGTTTCCTGTAATAGTGGCCGGGTTGTTGATCTGCCCTCACGGAATCAGTATTGATCGCCATGGAGAGGTTTCCTGTAATAGTGGCCGAGTGTTGATCTCCCCTCACAGAATCAGTATTGATCTCCATGTAGAGGTTTACTGTAATAGTGGCCGAGTTGTTATTCTGCCCTCACGGAATCAGTATTGATCTCCATGTAGAGGTTTACTGTAATAGTGGCCGGGTTGTTGATCTGCCCTCACGGAATCAGTATTGATCTCCATGTAGATGTTTCCTGTAATAGTGGCCGAGTTGTTGATCTGCCCTCACGGAATCAGTGTTGATCTCCATGTAGAGGTATCCTGTAATAGAGGCCGAGTTGTTATTCTGCCCTCACAGAATCAGTGTTGATCTCCATGTAGAGGGTTCCTGTAATAGTGGCCGAGTTGTTGTCCTGCCCTCACGGAATCAGTGTTCATCTCCATGTAGAGGTTTCCTGTAATGGTGGCCGAGTTGTTATTCTGCCCTCACAGAATCAGTGTTGATCTCCATGTAGAGTTTTCCTGTAATAGTGGCCGAGCTGTTATTCTTCCCTCACGGAATCAGTGTTGATCTACATGTAGAGGTTTCCTGTAATAATGGCCGAGTTGTTGACCTGCCCTCACGCAATCAGTGTTGATCTCCATGTAGTGGTTTCCTGTATAGTGGCCGAATTGTTATTCTGCCCTCACGGAGTCAGTATTGATCTCCATGTAGAGGTTTACTGTAATAGTGGCCGGGTTGGTGATCTGCCCTCACGGAATCAGTGTTGCTCTCCATGTAGAGGGTTCCTGTAATAGTGGCCGAGATGTTGACCTGCCTTCACGGAATCAGTGTTGATCTGCATGTAGAGGTATCCTGTAATAGTGGCCGAGTTGTTGACCTGCCCTCACGGAATCAGTGTTGATCTACATGTAGAGGTTTCCTGTAATAATGGCCGAGTTGTTGACCTGCCCTCACGCAATCAGTGTTGATCTCCATGTAGAGGGTTCCTGTAATAGTGGCCGAGTTGTTTTTCTGCCCTCACGGAATCAGTGTTGATGTCCATGTAGAGGTTTCCTGTAATGGTGGCCGAGTTGTTGACCTGCCCTCACGGAATCAGTGTCGATCTCCATGTAGAGGTTTCCTGTATAGTGGCCGAATTGTTATTCTGCCCTCACGGAGTCAGTATTGATCTCCATGTAGAGGTTTACTGTAATAGTGGCCGGGTTGTTATTCTGCCCTCCCGGAATCAGTATTGATCTCCATGTAGTTGTTTCCTGTAATAGTGGCCGAGCTGTTATTCTTCCCTCACGGAATCAGTGTTGATGTCCATGTAGAGGTTTCCTGTAAAAGTGGCCGAGTTGTTGATCTGCCTTCACGGAATCAGTGTTGATCTGCATGTAGAGGTATCCTGTAATAGAGGCCGAGTTGTTATTCTGCCCCCACGGAATCAGTGTTGATCTCCATGTAGAGGTATCCTGTAATAGAGGCCGAGTTGTTATTCTGCCCTCACGGCATCAGTATTGATCTCCATGTAGAGGGTTCCTGTAATAGTGGCCGAGGTGTTATTCTGCCCTCACGGAATCAGGGTTGATCTCCATGTAGAGGTTTACTGTAATAGTGGCCGGGTTGGTGATCTGCCCTCACGGAATCAGTGTTGATCTGGAATCAGTGTTGATCTCCATGTAGAAGTTTCCTGTAATAGTGGCCGAGTTGTTGACCTGCCCTCACGCAATCAGTGTTGATCTCCATGTAGTGGTTTCCTGTATAGTGGCCGAATTGTTATTCTGCCCTCACGGAATCAGTATCGATCTCCATGTAGATGTTTCCTGTAAAAGTGGCCGAGTTGTTGATCTGCCTTCACGGAATCAGTGTTGATCTGGAATCAGTGTTGATCTCCATGTAGAGTTTTCCTGTAATAGTGGCCGAGCTGTTATTCTTCCCTCACGGAATCAGTGTTGATGTCCATGTAGAGGTTTCCTGTAATAATGGCCGAGTTGTTGACCTGCCCTCACGGAATCAGTGTTGATCTCCATGTAGAAGGTTAGTTTGCTCTATGAAGTCCATTAAACCATCCCTTATAGTTGATTCCATGTTTCATATATATATATAGTACTTTTGGATAAATACCGTCTGGTCTAGAAGCTTTCAAGGTTTCTAATTTCGATAGTTTCTCTATGATTATTTTCTTCTATTATATCAACATGTTGGAATTCTAAATATTGAACTTTGATTTGAGCGTCAGGGATGTTGAGGAGATTCTCTTATGGGAAAACATTGTAGAATAATCTGTTTAGTTCACCAGCCTTTTGCTTATCTCCAGTTACTATGTTGCCATCTTTAGATTCTAATATAGCTAATTCTGACTTGGTTTTTGTCTTGGAAGTATGAATTTCCAGAAGCTTTTGGGGTCTGACCTAAACTCGGAGGCACTCTTATGTTCAAAATCATTGACTGCTTGTTTCTGTATATTAGTAGCTTCGTTCCTTGGCCTTCTATACCTCTCCCAAGTAATTTCGTTTTTGTTTCCTACATATTTAGTCCAACCTTTCCTCTTTGCCTCAATGCCGATATTACAGTCTCATTCATTCTTGTGTAACTACAGAAGTATCCAAGCGTAAGACACTAAGGTGTGGTACATGTCTAGTGATTACTTATGTCTTTAAAAATGGTTTGAAATACTGTGAAGACTAATTAATTGTATATCCAAAAAAACGTAATTTATGCGATAGTTTGCTCTAAATGAGCAATAAACTAAGAACACGTATCAGTGTACATAGACGGTAACAAACTAAACCTAACTCTCTACATGTTAATTAACAAATTCATGTGCCGGTGATAAACAGTGGTTAGTGCATTGAATATTTTCAATGGACCATTTAGTTATAAATGCCTGCCAATGTTAACGTTTCGCTGCCGCATAATTGACAATTGTCATGAAGCAAAACATTACTCCGTGATCACAAGCTCCAAAGAATGGTCCATTTTTTTCGAGAGCGAAACCCTTCGCTATCGAAGATGATATAGATGTCTTTAGAAACCCAACACTTTGTCAAAGATGATATAGCTTATCGTACTCAATAGGTAATTTTGACAGGACAGAACAGAACTTTATTGAACATTCAGATCGATACAAACGATACGTGAGCAACAAACAATATAAACAAAAGAAAGTATTGGATTAGGTAAGTTAGCCTGGAGACTGAAATGCTTGCATAACACATTTCAGAAAGTTACAAAGTTGTTTCAACAATTTCATATTAGTTGAACGAAATAGTTCACGGTGTTTGATAGTATTTGGAAGTTATGATAACACATTACTTACGATATAACCTCAAACAGAGGTGCTGAGGTGGTGGTACATGTATTACATGGCATACATGGGTGGATATTTATATACAGTGTTCAGAGATGTCCTTGTACTTATAAAAATGTATGCCAAAAAGTTAGCCTTTACAAAACCTGACATTATAAACCGCCATGGTCTTTTATATTTTTTTCATGACATACTTACCTGATATCTGGTTTAATGTCTTACTTAACAATTCAAAACGTATGTTGTTTTCTCGTCACTTTCCAGTATGCATTACCGGCATCGTCATCCTGATGATAGGGACCGAAGTTGTGATGCTGGAGAACGGGAAGCTGTCTTGGGGCTATTGGATAAAGTGTGCTGGCCTGTTTCTTAGCCTTGTCACGTTAATTTTGGTGTACAAAGACAAATACCATTTCTTCGGAAGTAGAACTGATTTGGTGACACACAGCGAAAAGGCTAGTGACAAAAACGACTTTGATAATCTGGCATTTACTGATCGGGGTTCGGACGAGTTTTCCGGTTCCGTGATAACGTCATCTATTAGACTCTCGTCGAGTGGCGGCCTGGGAACCTTGGACAGAGTTTCTTCTCGTAGTTTATCGTGTTCTGATATCGTCACAGGAACGTCAAATGTCAATTACGCCCAAGACTTGTGCCGGACAGCTTCATCGAGGGGTCGCTTTGGTGGGTCGGCAGACAATGTTGCCAGGACTTCTCATGTTATGAACTTCAAGGATTCTAGACAGGCGAACACATTCAGCACTGGATTGGGGGGTTCGTGCGATAGAATTATCGACATATCTCGTGTAAACTATTTACAGGAGCCAACACGGAGAACTTCCGCGGACAGTCTAACAGCGAGAACCGGATCTGTTAATATGAATCCAAATCAAAGTGATGAAATTACAGCTCAGAGACAGCAAAGAGATGGTAACAAATCTAGGAATCATCGTTTATCTTCAAGTAGTTCAATCGAAAGTGACGTATGATTACGTCATTCGGACATCATCGTACTGGACGAAAGATTGCTTTACAAATAGTTCATGGAACTTATTTACGAACTTTAGTAACCTTCCATAAATTAATCAACAGTTACAATAATACGGTCACTGTGACCTAGTTAAACTACTTGATGATAGCAATAATACAATATTTGACAGTTGTTTATCGAAAAATCTTCATTTTTTTATGGTTTGCTCAATACATAAATAACGTTCATAATCAGAAAAGATCAGTTACGTATGTGTTGTTTTCAGTCTGCATGTTAGCGCTACAGATTTAGGGACGATGTTGTCGGAGAAATGCTGGTAAATATAGCATTCATCAATTTAATATGAATATATGCGATGTGTTTTATCAAATTCAACAATAAATCGTAACTTTAAATAACAATACAATGAGTTGTTTAATTCATGGAAATTGTTAACAAAATAATATAACCGACACTTATATATAACGAGAAAGCTTCGTGACATCCTTCGTTTCATTTGCCACCTTACTTATCGCCAGCGTTGTTCATTTAAGCATTGAACTGTTTTTGTATAGTATTTATGATCTATTTGAATGACACAGCTTTGCAAGCAAACAACATAATGCGCGCCATGCAAATATAAATATATTCCTATTAGTATGTCATCAGTATTCCTATATTTACATTTGCATGGCATTGTCACTATATAGCCTCTTTGAAAGCTGTGTTTTTGATGGGACTTTAATTACCATGCATCACGAGACACAATTCTTAGCGTGTGAATACAACACTGAACGGAACTACAATATCCAATAAAAATAAACATGACGGCTGCTGAAATATCGCTGGGCATTGTGAGATTTGACAATGTCATTGTAAATTTATGTGCAAAAGAAAAAAATAAATAAAAAAACACCTTTATTACAACGAAAACAAGACCAAGGTCTGCATATATCATACAAAATGCACATCGGTTGAAATCACCAATGCCGGCAATGGAAACAATTTTAACACTCATGCAATTTATCAAAAATATCGTCTGTTACACTGCACTGATCAACAGGGGTTCGATACAAATGTCAGAGTTCTATTGATAAACTTAAATCACCCTATAGACATATCATACGCAATTGTATTAATACTGAATTGTAGTATAAAATTGAAGTGTTTGTTAAATTTCAAAGTACTACTTTGTTCGCCAATCAGCACGCGACCATACGCTGTTCAAACTATTTAACGAAATTGTGTGGACTGTCGATAAGGCGGGCATGTTTAATTTTAAATATAAATTATAAGTTAACAAAGAACATAAGAGGCAGAGAAAAAGTAAATATAAGTATTGAACTGTTTTTGCATGGTATTTATGATCTATTTGAATGACACAGCTTTGCAAGCAAACAAATCATAATGCGATCGCGCATTATGTTGTTTGCTTACAAAGCTGTGTCATTCAAATATATCATAAATACCATACCAAAGCAGTTCAATGCTTAATTATGCTTAATAACGCCTTTATATATCACCTCGATATGATGCCCAAACTTTAACAACTATGCGTTTTGAAAACATACCGACAAAGTAAATATATATTACACAATGCAATGTGTGCTGAATTCCTATTGTGTGTTGATGACTTGGTATGCTGCTGCAGGCTTCCGTCTAGCCACACACGACCCCGTTACGTACGTCTACAACGTGTATCAGACATAGCATACCCACTTAGAGTATTCATCGGAAGTTTTATTTTTGAATTGAAATACTGTTTCCTAAGTGTTTCTTCTCTTAAAGCCACTTGACAGCCATTTATCCAGTGTCCGTCAGTTTGCTCTGAATAACCATTATGTGTATATATTTCACAGCAGGAACGTCTTTTCCGACCTCTTTAAAAGTATGTCTGTCTAGTCTTGAACTAATGTTACGGTATGTCTGTCTAGTCTTGAACTTGTGTTACAGTTTGTCTGTCTAGTCCTGAATTTGTGTTACGGTATGTCTGTCTAGTCTTGAGCTTGTGTTACGGTATGTCTGTCTAGTCTTGAACTTGTGTTACGGTATGTCTGTCTAGTCTTGAACTTGTGTTACGGTTATTATTTGTTGTTTTGGATTTGTCTGACGACAGGTATGTGGTAGTTGTTAATGTGTATTACAGCATGGCGCGTGCTCACTACTTATATACGATATTGTCGTACGATTCCGAATAAATACATAGGAGGTTGGCATGGTTACAGCTGGCTCACGGATTGTGTATGTGGTTTCTAAATCAGAACGTTTCTGGCACCGTCCGCAAGTACGCCAACAGGTTCCCATATTATATAGGCAATTGGCCGACAGAGAATCACATAGTAAACTTGACGAACAGTTTTGAAATAAAGATCAAAATTATATAAGTATGAATTTAAAACAGTTATTCAGACTTCTGCTGATCCTCTAGTCCTATCAGGACGTATGCCGTATTGGAGAACGTGTTTTAAACCCAATGTTTATTGGTTATTTATTTCAAAATATATTTTATATTTTATTCGGTTCATGTTGATTTCTTTGAAACCTCATGTTTATTGTTGCTTGTTTTAAGATTTCATTTCTTTTTTTAAAACTCATGTATATGGGTTCTTGTTAAAAATCTACTTTTTAAAATTTACAGATTGTAAACAAAACGATGAATATTTGAGATTTGTATGCATTTATTGACAAAAATTAAGTTCAGATCAATACTGCCATTGATGTTCTAAAATTACTTTGAATAAATACGTATTCCGCTAAAATATGTTTATCTAAAAATCCGTAAAATGACCTAACATGTTTTACCAACTACCACTACTTTATAGAATATCAAGCCACCGCCATGGTAAAGGAGGGCTGCTTTATAGAATATCAAGCCACCGCCATGGTAAAGGAGGGCTGCTCTATAGATTATCAAGCCATCGCCATGGTAAAGGAGGGCTGCTTTATAGAATATCAAGCCACCGCCATGGTAAAGGAGGGCTGCTTTATAGAATAGCAAGCCACCACCATGGTAAAGGAGGGCTGCCGAAGACTAGCATATCGTGATTAGTTTTAAGTTATTTCTTAAAACTGAAACCAACTAAAACAAATTAGCAATGGCTGTCATAATAATGTATAAGTTGACTCACAACACTTCCTCTTACAAACATTTACTTGGACAATAATTAACCACGTAAGCCTAATAATTAGATACCTTTTAAAATGTAGCAGACATTTAACTAAAATCCAAGCTTTTTCAAGCAATTAAAATTGTTCTTAACAAATAATGTCATCTTGATATCATTTTCATCTCATTATCCTACAATTCTACAAAATTACTTTTCGTCACAACTCGATAACATCCGAGGAGCAAACGTTAAACGGAATCGCAGTTCGGTTGATTCCGTGGCAACACGTATACCTGAATCACCCTAATCAGTTCATTCATTGAACTCTCACCCTTTTTCAGAAATAAATTATGTACATTTTATGTAATCAATATGCGAAACCAAAGGAAAATGATATTTGCACAACCTTTTCGTACCTTAAACGCCGATTTAAAATCGCGCTTTAAGTTTTCGACATTTTTCTCATCTTACATCAGTTAATGATGCTCCTGCATAAGGAACACTATTCAAGAAATGGGGTCATAGAGTTCAAATCGGAAACTTTGGTTCACATACGTTGCTTTCACTCTTTCCAAGTAACGGATTCCCAATTAAGTAACACGTATTTATATCCACTGAACATCCTCTAGGTCAATATATTATACAACAGTACATGTTAGCTAGTCCGTTAAAAATGTTACACAAGTAGGCAAGATTACATGGCTTGGCTTGATCTCTCGGTCACAGTGAGTACAAAAACATTGACGATAATATTTAATTCGACAATAAAAAAGCAAGATAGCGTCAAAGTACAAAATGATAAAAGTAAACAAAACAAAACCGAAAGCTTATAGACAAGCACCATCCATCAAAAGAGGATACGTACATAGTCTATGCGTACATAAAATATAGATATGTAAGCGGACAGTAGAAATATTACGAGTGATGTTTATGTTATAGAATTAAGCTACGATGAACGTCAGTTAACAGCGGTGAACCCCGTGAGGTCTACCGACCATACAGTTACGTTATGAGTATTGTTATTGTATCACTACTTGACATAAAGCAGCACCAGTGTAGATCTCGTACATAGTTTGCATCGACAATGGAGCATTACGCTAGTTAGCACTTCCACAACCGGAAGTAGACATCAACGAGGTAAACATCCGGAATGAAACTGGCTGACAGAAAAATAAAGCTCTTAAAAGATTCATTCGTACAAAGCGCCAGTTTCACAACATTAGGTTCATGAAAATAAATAATGTTTATGACAATAAATCGAAGGCATACGTTAAATGAATGCATCCAACATCGTCCCCATCTTCATTGTGATTTCACTACATTGTCTAGCACATTCTGGATTTATGGAAGATTTCAGAATGTTGATTGGATGAATTGGTCATGTTTGTCTGTTGGGAAACCATCAACGTATGGACCAAAAAATTAAAACAGGTAAGGGATTATTTTATGTGGTACTTTTCGGCAGTATTCCGCCCAGAACTTGCCATATTTCAAGCCGCACTTTGTGTCGTCGCGGAAGCTTCGATGAGTGAGAAGGATAATGAGGAAGATAACGTAAGTGTAAGGCATTATATTCTCGCTCAGAGCCGGCAAACTCCAGCAAAACGCCAACAGGATTTCCGGTATGTAGTGGAAATGACGTGACATTCCCCACCAACCGGAAGCGAGCAATATGCTCTCCCTTTCTTGTCCGCTCTCTAACATGTACTTCGCTCTGAGAATGTTTGGTTTCTTACCCCAGATGAGACATTCGCCATTAGTTTGACGAACTCTCTGTTTCTGCCAGTCGGCAATATAGTTTATATATATTGATGTTAAGCCACAAAGACATATCAAAAGTGATGTCGTTGTACCTAGGTTGACAGGTTTGGCAACAAGGTAGAGACTAACGGACGCGTAAAACGACGGAATGAAGACGAGGCAACCCCAGCAAATGTAGTACCCGGCTCTGTCCAACATGATGTCAATGGTGCGCATATAACCCGCTTCCCACCAAAAGAATTTGGTGATGTACGCCAATTGAAGAAAGGCCGATACAAACATGCTATCCACGAAACCATGCAGTTCATAACTTTTTAAGGCAAAGATGGCGACAAGGAGTCCCCAGACCGTCATTCCAAATCTGCAGTTTGTGAAAACCTTCACATCAAACATAAAAATCCGAGGATATAGTTCGGTACCCCAATAATAATCAAATAGAGGGTTTCCGGATGTCCCACAGTCTGTTGAAGAAGGGGCGTGAAGTCCTTTGAAGTACAGGAAAGCACAAAATATCAAACTAAATACGTTCAGAATCAAGAGAATTTCGTCGAAACGGTCGTATACAACGGACGGACTCATTCCATACTGCTTTAATACCACGGTCAGTCCAGCCAGACTGACCATGGTCACAACGTAATGCTTAAACCCGTTGTCAATGTATATCGGAATGTTTCCTTTGGGAGTGATCGGACCCTCGACTTTTTCACCTGGCAGTAACGCCATCAGGAAGAGAGCCCATGCGCTGTAACCAATGAGGATGTAGAAACACAGCCCATCCTTGGGCCAGTGTAAAGTGCGACTCCATATTTCGTACACTCCAGGAAAGAAGGATTTCTCGGAGAACATGACTCCGAGCTCGGTGTAGCTCCCCCCACACTGTTTGAGTGTGTACCAAAACAATATGCCCACTTGAGGGGTGACGAGGATCAGGAAGAGGGGCACGACATTTTGGTCGAATATTTTCCTGTACCAAGCGACCTCCGTTTTCTCCAATTTCTCGTTATCTTTTTTATATCCATGAAATCCGTTGGAGAGCTCGGTCCCGTTTGTATAGACCGTCTTGCTTTGACGCGACAGTTTCTTTCCCGAGCGCAAAAAGCGTTCGTGTTCCATCCTGAAATAAAAACAAATAATAATTAACAAGTTGATGTATATGAATTAAATCAATGTCTCTTGTTCTGGAATGAAATTTTATTTTATTTTAAAATTTAGGTGGATTTCGGTATAAATCTTTGTCCGAAAGAAAGAAGTGTTTGACTGAACTCGTTTTTATAATCAATAAAAATAAAACATTAAAATTAAGCATGATTTGAATAATTGTGTAATTTGTTGGAAAGTATATCCATGTTAGAATGTTATTATAGAAAGGCTAAACGCAAAGGGGGTTCTTGGGTGATTTGACTTCCGGAATTGTCAAGTTACAAGAGGCAACTGTATTCCCAGTGATATTTAAACTGTGGGCGTAAGATTCACAGTGTGTGTCTCTGGACATGTAAACATAACAAAAGTACTCGTGATAACAGATCTCTCTGGACATATAACATAACTAAAGTGCTTGTGAGAACAGATCTCTCTGGGCATATAAACATCAAAAAAGTACTTGTGATAACAGATCTCTCTGGACATATAAACAACACAAAAGTACTTGTGAGAACAGATATATCTGGACATATAAACAACACAAAAGTACTTGTGAGAACAGATATATCTGGGCATATAAACATCACAAAAGTACTTGTGAGAACAGATATATCTGGACATATAAACATCACAAAAGTACTTGTGAGAACAGATCTCTCTGGACATATAAACAACACAAAAGTACTTGTGAGAACAGATCTCGCTGGACAGGTAAACAACACAAAAGTACTTATGAGAACAGATATATCTGGGCATATAAACATCACAAAAGTAATTGTGAGAACAGATCTCTCTGGACATATAAACAAAACAAAAGTACTTGTGAGAACAGATATATGAGAACAGATATATCTGGGCATATAAACATCACAAAAGAACTCGTGAGAACAGATCTCTCTGGGCATATAACCATCACACAAGTACTCGTGAGAACAGATATATCTGGGCATATAACCAACACAAAAGTACTCGTGAGAACAGATCTCTCTGGGCATATAAACAACACAAAAGTACTCGTGAGAACAGATCTCTCTGGGCATATACCCATCACAAAAGTACTCGTGAGAACAGATCTCTCTGGGCATATAACCATCACACAAGTACTCGTGAGAACAGATATATCTGGGCATATAAACATCACAAAAGAACTCGTGAGAACAGATCTCTCTGGACATATAAACATCCCAAACGTACTCGTGAGAACTGATCTCCCTGGGCATATAAACAACACAAAAGTACTCGTGAGAACAGATATATCTGGGCATATAACCAACACAAAAGTACTCGTGAGAACAGATCTCTCTGGGCATATAACCATCACAAAAGTACTCGTGAGAACAGATATATCTGGGCATATAAACATCACAAAAGTACTCGTGAGAACAGATCTCTCTGGACATATAAACATCACAAACGTACTCGTGAGAACTGATCTCCCTGGGCATATAAACAACACAAAAGTACTTGTGGGAACAGATATATCTGGGCATATAAACATCACAAAAGTACTCGTGAGAACTGATCTCTCTGGGCATATAAACAACACAAAAGTACTTGTGGGAACAGATATATCTGGGCATAAAAACAACACAAAAGTACTCGTGAGAACAGATGTATCTGGGCATATAAACAACACAAAAGTACTCGTGAGAACAGATCTCTCTGGGCATATAAACATCACAAAAGTACTCGTGAGAACAGATCTCTCTGGGCATATAAACAACACAAAAGTACTTGTGAGAACAGATATATCTGGGCATAAAAACAGCACAAAAGTACTCGTGAGAACAGATATATCTGGGCATATAAACAACACAAAAGTACTCGTGAGAACAGATCTCTCTGGACATATGAACATCACAAAAGTACTCGCGAGAACAGATATATCTGGGCATAAAAACATCACAAACGTACTTGTGAGAACAGATCTCTCTGGGCATATGAACATCACAAATCTACTTGTCAGAACAGATCTCTCTGGGCATATAAACAACACAAAAGTACTTGTGAGAACAGATATATCTGGGCATATAAACATCACAAAAGTACTCGTGAGAACAGATGTATCTGGGCATATTAACAACACAAACGTACTTGTGAGAACAGATCTCTCTGGGCATATAAACATCACAAAAGTACTTGTGAGAACAGATCTCTCTGGGCATATGAACATCACAAAAGTACTTGTGAGAACAGATCTCTCTGGGCATATAAACAACACAAAAGTACTCGTGAGAACAGATTTATCTTGGCATATAACCATCACAAAAGTACTTGTGAGAACAGATATATCTTGGAATATAAACAACACAAAAGTACTCGTGAGAACAGATTTATCTTGGCATATAACCATCACAAAAGTACTTGTGAGAACAGATCTCTCTAGGCATATATACACATCACAAAAGTACTTGTGAGAACAGATCTCTCTGGACATAAACAACACAAAAGTACTTGTGAGAACAGATATATCTGGACATATAAACAACACAAAAGTACTTGTGAGAACAGATCTTCCTCCAACCCGGACAGGGAATGTGTTTATATAATACTGTACAGCAAGTGTGTCATGTTAAGTGTCTCTAAGTGGACATTCGTTCCTTATATAAAATACACACAAATGTGTACTGGAATGTCTGAGCACTGCTAAAGGATCTATGTACCACTGACAAACATTGCCAGAAGAAATATGCATAAAATTAACAACATTGTTCTGAGTGTTAAATTGCCACAATGCCAGACCTGGATTTGAACCCTCGATTCCCGATCGTTATACTGTTGCTGTAACAAACTAAGTTGGTTTAAGCATTGAACTGTTTTTGTATGGTATTTATGATCTATTTGAATGACACAGCTTTGCAAGCAAACAACATAATGCGCGCTAGCGCATTATGATTTGTTTGCTTGCAAAGCTGTGTCATTCAGATAGATCATTAATACCATACAAAAACAGTTCAATACTTATATTTACGTTTTCTCTGCCTCTTATGTTCTTTTTTAACTTATAATTTATATTTAAAATTAAAAATGCCCGCCTTATCGACAGTCCACACAATTTCGTTAAAAAGTTTGAACAGCGTATGGTCGCGTGTTGATTGGCGAACAAAGTAGTACTTTGATATTTAAACAAACACTTCAATTTTATTCCACAATTCAGTATCAATACAATTGCGTATGATATGTCTTTAGGGTGATTTAAGTTTATCAATAGAACTCTGAGCTTGAAGTTAGATTTTGAATTGTTTCGATTTTCCCCCGGAACAAATTTCGCGCATGGACAAATACAGTGAACACCGTAAATCCGACCTTGCCAACCACGAGGGAGTTATTTTTGGAAGTTTATTCGACCTTTCCTCTTTGCTCATTTTGTGAAGAATCCAGGCGTGAATTTATTTGTTGATTGTACGGAACCTGACAACAGTCGGTAGATTCTATAACAGCCTCGTTATTTGACCTGTCGTCAGAATTAAAATGAGGAATCGTAGATGCGAGATGCGTGAAACCGATAGCGTTTGAAGTGAGTGATCTTGCAACGGAGCACAGGTTCGTTACATATGTCTGAAATGTGTATGTGTTCTGTGACTCATATCAGTAGGTCTGTAACATATGTGTCAGTAGGTCTATAGAATATGTGTATTTCAGACATTTCTAACGAACCCCTGTTGACCAGTGCAGTGTAACACACGATATTTTTGATAAATTGCATGAGCGTTAAAATTGTTTCCATTGCCGGCATTGGTGATTTCAACCGATTTGCATTTTATACCATATTGCAGACCTTGGTCTAGTTTTCGTTGTGATAAAAGTGTTTTTTTTAATTTTATTTTTTATTTTGCACATAAATTTACAATGACATTGTCAAATCTCACAATGCCCAGCGATATTTCAGCAGCCGTCATGTTTATTTATATTGGATATTGTAGTTCCGGTCAGTGTTGTATTAATACGCTAAGAATTGTGTCTCGTGATGCATGGTAATTAAAGTCCCATCAACGACACAGCTTTCAAAGAGGCTATATAGTGACAATGCCATGCAAATGTAAATATAAACGGTTGAACCATTTACTACAGAATCGTAATGAGTTAGATTAGTGCGTGTTTTCCGGACGTATTCAGTCACTGAGAACAGGATGTTTATACTTTTGTATTCTGTGATTGAATACTATCCGGATCAACAAGGTTGCACTCCTAATTTTGACATCTTGGTTGACAAACTGGGAACCGTTACATCCGTGCCTCTGTCACTAAATACAAACGTCCGGAGTAATGATATTCTGTACTATATAATGATATTCTGTACTATATAAGATATTCTGTACTATATAATATATTCTGTACTATATAATGATATTCTGTACTATATAATACATTCGTAATTGACTTTTGTCATCAATACAAACTGGATATTTTTTGTGACATATTTTCTAATACTATGGTATACATAATCAAATGTTCGAGGTGAAGCTTTAAATAATTTAAAAAATATATTGTTGACATATGTATTTGGTTAGGTGATCTCTATGTACCTTCAACCATATCATAGACCATCTACATCTTTAGACGATTCTCAATAAACAGGTTGTTTCCGAGTTCTTTCACAGATGTACAGCGCGGACGTGACTTATCGGGTTTACAGCTGACACAAGAAACGTACTTCAAAATAACAAAAATCAGTATTGGCACATACTGACATTTCTTCTTTGAATACTGAATCGACTTTTTTCATTGAAGTTTTGCACTATACAGAATGAGATGATTTTGAAGTATATTTATGACATTTTAAAAAGTTGTGAATGATTCAGAGAAGTCACCTCACATTTTATTGCCTTAGTTTCCCAGATGTTGACGTACAAGTCTAATAACCCATAAACGAACCCAACTTATTGAATCTAAGATACAACAATGAAAGGTCTTGAGAACTTTGACGATTACTCAAGTACAGCTCTACAGAGTCAAGCCAAGCGTTCTGAAATTAAATTTGATTAAGGAACTCAGTTTGATCTCAACTCATTATAAGCTTCGAAAAGGACAAACGTAAATCTTTCACTTGGTTTTATTTTGAAAATATCAAAATTTCAAACTAAATCTTCATTTAAAGAGATACATGACGCCGGAAAAGCTCTTTCTCTCTTATAAAAGTCCTCGATAGAGAAAGTTATAAACTTTACGCTAATACCAAGTTTGAAAAGTTTCTACAAACATAGAGCTGTAAATATAAAGTTAAAAAAAAATGAATAAATGCCGGTCGGCATAAATTCCCATAAAAGGTTACTTTGCATAATTACAAGCTACGTGACATGACGTAACCTTCATGACCCGAGCTCATGACCCGACCTCCGAAAACCAAAACAATATGGCGACACACGCACCGAAACGTGGTCGTCCAGCTGAATATTTAACAACCTCGGCTCGGAAACGACGGAAACTCGAGCTTGCCAGACTAACAGGTTATAGTCGAGTTAATATTGGGAGCACATCAACAGATGGAACAGGCAGAACTAGGGTTGCGGTGGAACCAGGATGTTGCTTCTTTTCTTCTCGACAGGTAGCTATTTTTGTTCGTCGCTAAAATGTAAAACTTGCGACTGAAAGTTCCCAACTTGGCCAAATTACTTTGATTTGGAATACTACATTATGGGAGGTAATATTTTAAGCATAAAGACTTGCTTTGCTTGAGAATTAAACACAGTGGTGGTGTTACATTACCCACATACCGATTTTAATATCGTAAACAAAACCACGTGTTTCTTACCTCACTATCCATTTTTGTTGTGTTTCGAATTATCACGTGACTCGTTTTCGGAAACTTCTGTTGAATATTCATCAGCAATGGCGCGTAGAACCAGCGGGACGATTCAAATTTACATTTATTATGAGGACAGATTTCTAGTGTTTGGTGGCAAGACGAATCGACAACTTTGGTTGGATATTCTAACTATGTATTGATTTTAAGGTATATCAATTTCTCTGTCAATCTTTGAAAATGCAAAAAAAAACGTTTCCGGCGTCATGTATCTCTTTAATACCGATAAAAGATGACAAATGAAAAATGTGCATATGGTTATAAACTAATTGAACTAGTAAAGAAATATAAAGTATAGACCTAACAACTCAGTAAGTTGACAATGCCCCCAATAACGTGGCTTTATTTCCTGTCATGTACGAAACACCTGCTGCTAATGAGCCATCTACGTCTAAACACCAATGTCAGTCAGCTTAACAAAAATATTCTTATTTTTTCATTGAAAAGTTATATTTTCAAAACAAAATAAAAAGCATACAAATTATGTGTGCATTAAACATATGTCTCAAAACGTCATGTATTTTAATTTGGTTTCTTGTGTCAATGTTTCAAGGAGAATAGCATAAAGACAGTGAATGTCGTTAAGCTAACAGGGACAGTATATCGCACGCCCTCGAGGAAAGAAACATTAGCATTGTCCGAAATCCATCTCGACATCTCAACATATCGAAGTAGACTGGTAAAATTTGCATCTCAATATTTATCGTAGACGATCAGTTTTGTTTAGTCCGTATACCCTGGGGATTCAACTCACTGCTTCCCATTGGGTTTGTGAAATAACCTCGCACTCCATGTCAACATATTAGTCACACAGGCCAGAAATCCGCAAGTCTGATTTGACAGTCTGACAGTGTGTTTAGTAAAACCATAAGTATTGCCATCTTCTGTCCAGCCATAGTTTGGTATCATGAAGGGGTTCGGTGATGTATAGAGGAACACATATTAAGGATTATTAGGAAAAGAAAGTGGACACAGAAATGAAAAAGCCCTAACTCCAGCTAATGATGAATGTCAACTCTCCCTTTTGACATTAGGGAGTCCCCCTGAAGGAGGGGGGAGGGGGTCTGAATGTAGTTCTTAAACCCTAAATCGTCTAATGATATTCCCAAGACACCTGGATAAGTAACACAATACATCATGTACTTTATTACCATGTCCCTGTGCACAAATTCTGTGGTTCCGACGTTATGTACGGTCATTCTCTCCCAGATATTTTATATCAGGTCATCTAAACAGACTTTATGTATTGTATCAACGCTAGCTGAGTCTGTTCCTGAAGTCAGACCAAGGCTGATGGAAATTTTGATGAAATATTTGTAAGCTTGAGAGTTTTTTCCGTTGATGCATTTCAAGGCAAATGTCAAATCAAAAGCAATATTTATTTTTACATGTAATTTCAACTTAAAAAAATACTGAATTTGGTTTAAGGACAACACATGCCATGAAATTGTTAAAGAACAATAGCACGTCCCTCTTTGAAGTAAAAAGTCATTGTTGTAACTGAATATGCTTCGTCATCTAGCCACGTCTGCTCGTGTGAGGTGCATAATGAGACTCCAGATTTATCTCGTCAGCAATTGACGTCGCATAAATTGTGTACGAGGCATTGCCATGGTAACAAAATCATATAATATACCTGTACACCCTCGTGACGATAGAACCTTGCTAAGTTGATCAAGTTCTATATCTAAAGAAAACGTGTATCGCGCTCAGACACACTGTTATAAGTTTTGTTAGCATGACGAATAATTAACTTCTGAATATTGTATAACCCCGTTGTTCTTCTTGTAAATATTATCAAACGTTTTAATATTTCTACGTCTTCTGTGTTGGTATGATCCTTGATATGAGAGTTTCATTTTGTTTTAGTTTGCACAAGATATACAGATTTAAGACGGAAGTATTTAAAATGTTACTATAGAAATAACCCTAGTGTATATAAGCTTGTTCAATTACTTAATACACCGAATATTAAAGGATTATGTTATCTTGGAAAGTATCCGATAGCGGCAAATAAGCGCCGATCAGATATATGACAGTGTGTATGTGTGTATTGTTCATTCTCCTGTGACCAATGTGGCTTTTTTTGTACATATGTAAATATCCTGTTTAATATATTTTTACACTGATAAGTCGCAAGACTTAAAGTTAATAAAGAACTTGAACTTGAAATCTAAATATAACGATTTAGAGATGTGGGTTATTGGTTCGTCGATTGCGGTACACCTATTCATAAGGTGTTCTGCACCCTGGAGTTAGGATTTCAAATTATTCCAGTATTTTCATTTTTTCCTAACAGACTAGGTATCAGTTGACAATGACTTTAGAATGTAAAATTATTGCTTTTCGTAAAATATTAGAGAAAATACATCTGACTAGGAAGTCTGTACACAGACCGTGACTGTTACGGACGATTAATTTTACTCAGAATGACATTAAATATGGAAAAAAGGAACCTTGTATGCTCATCATTTCACATAAATATCAATTTCCATACGATCTTAACAATACCCAGTATCTGACTGTGTCCTGGGTTGGCGTGGAGATGCTGTGCTTGTAATGCACAGTCTCTCTGTAAATGGTTAAGCTACAGGTACGATATTAGAGATCTCTGTTTTTTCATTTCAGAATATTTTATTGTACTGATATTATGTACAAAAGGAATTGGACAACAGACATAGCCTATATAAGCCCTCTACTTACAAAACATAACAGTATATACATATTATATATATGTTACTTTTACAGATGTTTCTTTAAGTATTAAGATAAGAGATTATTTGTACTTTGAATTTGATTTGACAATACATATTTCAAATATCGCAATTGTTGTAAGAGAGATTATTTTACAAAGCTATTTAAGAATCTATTAAAAACGTCTGGTGTCTCTAATGTAATTCTGAACCGTCTCCACAATAGTTATACTCATATTTACGTCTCTAGATTGGAAACTATAAATAAAAGTTTGGGTATTGAGTGGAATAGCATCACTCATCGCTGACAGAGAGCTAAGTAATATTAGTCTTTGGTTAGTATAAAAAGGACAATGCAGGAAAAAATGATCACGATCTTCGAATGGTGAACCACATATACAAGCAGGGCTATCATTTAAATGTGCATTAAATAAATCTGAATTTAAATTACCTGCAGAGTTTCTTACCGGCCGGACACGTGTGCGGTTTGTAAATTGAAATACCCCTTACCAAACCATGTAGCACTTTTCAATATTCCGACATCTCATAAAATACTTGTGTCCGAGTAAAAAGCCAATAACTTGAAACTTGACAACTTCCATTTTATAAATACGCTCACTAAGTCCGACATATTATATTTCAGTCTTGACATTTTAGTCTTTTATTGTATAGAAATACAATAAATATCTGACAGCTGTAGAAGTATTGTTAGCATACAATCATGCTTAAAAGACTATTCTTCCCGAGAAAAAGGAAGCACAAAGTCAATGGAAGACGTTGAAGCGTAACATTCTTTTGACAAAGACCTTTCATCACAAGAAAAAAATCACACACACCATTTAATCGTTTTCATTAAAATCAAATTTAACAAATTTTGTTTTGGGGGAATCTATTTCATTCTTTGTTCAATTAATAAATAATCAAGCTGACTTATTTAAGCTTACATAAAACCCGCCCATGTATGAATATTACAGTATTGCTTACCTTGTAACTTGTTAGTTTGTCGTACGAGGACCCCCTGCGACACCAGCTGTTCGACGCTCTCCTGTACTCTGCCCAATGCCCTCTGTGAAAGAGATGAAGACAGTGTTTAGATATCACGTGACTGGATCACGACCTCATCGCCAGGATCGCGTGACTGACATCGCAATACACCGAAGACATCCACAACTCAGGTATCGCACGCAGCTTCGCTTTATTATGCTCAGCCGCCGGAAAGAATTTAAAGTTACTAATATCTGTTCGTTTTAGCTGTCGATTATGGTAATGCACGCGATCAATACAGCTTTCCAACATTTCCCGACACTTTCTCAAACACGTGCAGGACGAAACCAAGGGCCTACCTCGATACCTCGATTACCGCGTCATGTCACCAAGTGCTAGCCGGGCTGCTGCAGCACATGTATTTGGATGCACCGAATGCAAGTATTGTGAGAAATCTTGTCTGCCGATCGATGTCGCTTAATAGTATTAAGCGTTTTTCGTTTGTGAATCAGTATCAAAAGTTAGTTTAATCAACGACGTAGTAATATAATGTCATCAAATAGCATTGTACTTGCCGATACACTCACATTTTTACAAGTACAAAACATAGCTCTTGTACATTTCAAGCGTATATTTATAGTGTAATTCCCCCCGAACAAGTTAATTATAAACTGAAAACAAGATAAACGAATAAAATTGTCATAAAACCTAATTGCTCAAGTATTAAAATCAGTCCCGTATGCTGCAAAACTCAAATGAGACAAAATTGTCTCTAATCGCGTCGAGAGGACGGCCTGGTGTTGTTTTGGAAAACGTACAAGTTCACTGTTGTGGGCTATGAGTCACACGCTGATCAATATGCAAATCTTATAGTATTTGTCACAGATTGAATCTAGACGATTTTTTGGCAAACTGGCTTTGTTCCGAGTTCCTCGTCTCTCTTATTGATTACTGACTGTTATCATTGGGGACTGGTCTAGTACGTACAGTGCTTATACAAATTACAAAAAGTATCCATATCATAGGCAAATTGGAATGTACAGTCTAATTTCAAAATGAAAAAAAAATAGCATTGATTTTAAATTTTGATGAAAACGTTCTGAAATGGGCTATTGTTTGTTATTAAGAGAACCTTATAATGGATTCCCGAGGCTTGAGAGTGACCGCAGTATGTCTGTAGGAAAATGTCACTATGGTAACCGCATGCCACACACACATTCTCACACAGACATATATATATTTATGTATAAAGATAATCAAATTCTCCTTTACAGTCCAGAAAATGTGACAGCTCGCATTTCATTATGTGCCAGGATATCGCCACAGGCATCAATCATTATCACACACAAACGTGTTAGGTGTCTAACTGCATCGTAAATATACGCATATCACAGAAATATGTCATATTGTCGTTATTACCTCTTGTAACGATTACCGTAGTCTTCACATAAAACGCCCCCTATGTATATCTGCACTGACTGAACTGCATCATTCGATATAAGCCAGAGTATGATAATCGGGTAGTCTTATCACAAAACACCCATATGTCTATCTGCCCTTGACAAGCTGTATCATATATATTAGCGTGAGTATTTGCACTAAATGACTTTATGATAACATTAATGTCTGAAGGGCGATTTGTGAATATTAATCATTCATCGATCTTTCTTACACTTTTCGTTCTGGGGGGTTTTGTCTGATTTTTTTCCATTGGAAAACGAATAAATCGATGACATAAAACCTCCGTGTTGTCAAAATACAAAATATTATATAGATAAATGTCCTATAGAACTAAAGTATGTTTGACTTCCAAGCATATTCATCAAATCAAGGAATCAGACCTTGTTTTAAGAAGTTGGCCGAGATATTGCGTGATGATGCGATTTCACAAACGCGCTAATATAAGACTGGCTATACTCGCCACACTAATTATAAAAGTATAGATGTCTATTTGGTCTAGTATCATGACAGTGTCCGAAGCTGATTGAGGGAACGTTTCACTTTCTATGTGACGGTACAATGGGTATGTACAGAGACTCAACTAAGCAGATATCTGAATACCTTCATGGATATCCCCTGGAAAACCCGTAATAATTAACGTTTATAAACTAAAGTAAAACGTAGTAATAATGTCATCAATTGTGCACAGAAATGTTGTCTTTATACAGGTGTTTGGCGATAAACTGAGGGAGGCATTTAAAGGAATTCTTTGAGGAAAAAATAGAAAAAAATGACCTTAAACTTTGTTGGCAGTAGTATGCGAGGTGTCAAAAATAACGAGTTATAAAGAGTTTTTACTGTATATCTACACATACCTGGCGGGTTCGTCCTCGCAAGACTGTATAAAAATAGACTGCCTATAGGCAGTCTTGACAAATCACATATCATTTCAGATTTATAAATAAAGGCAATAGGTCGATAAGTGCAACCCGTTTCTAACGTATACTTAAGGAGACGGGAGCATTCTATAATAAGTCTGTTTTTATACATTATTTAGGCCACTTTGTCACAATCTATACTGTTTATTCCAGTGAATACAGTGTATCAAGTAAATAGAATAATAGAGATATTCTCCATTGTAACCTAGGCTGCAAACCATAGCAGGACAGGACACCTCATGTGTGTTCAAATATGTCCAAGGTGTATGTGAGCAGACAAAACAACGTAAAGCCCTAAGCTTGTCAGCGATAGTATTGGGTGTTACATGACCACAATTCCATTTGATATAAACAGTCACTGGATCTTTATATATACATTTTGTGACAATTTTTGGCCGATATGACGTTGTCAAACTGTTTGTTGATATCTTACATGTTACATCATTATTATTGCCAAGCAAAATTGGAAATATATACGTATAGCATAATGTGATTTTTCCATGACAAAATACATGAAAAGGAAAATATAAATATTTACCAATAAATATGCGTAGCATTCATGGTGGGGTTTATCGTCTTGATCGCGTATATGTGACATATGAATCGGTGTTTAACAGTAAATGCAGTGTATTTAAAATTGATACCCTTTCCTTGGTTTTCGTCCTTGACAGCTCTATAAGAGGAAATTAACGCTGGTGGTCCCATCCATGGCCCAAACTAGACCCGTGGGACCTGGAGCTAGAATACGATAAAATGAAGGCGTGGTAAGGCGTCAAGCTTCATCCTCGCGCAAAGCAAGCCTTGGGTCATATAATGCTAATTTGATAAATTATGTATAGTCTATAGAATAGTTGCAACAGAACGGAAGTTACATCATAACGTAATTTGCAAAGTAAGTGTCACTTTGGTTCATTATGACAACCTGAGCCCGGGGCTACTCGCTCGAGGCATCTTACATTGTATAAGCAGGGAAACACCTAAAATGATGCATTTGTCATCTCAAATATTTTTCAGATATTTTAAAAATCAATTAAAACAGTTCAAATTTTTAGGTTTTTTGGAATTTATAATATGGATCCAAAAGACCTATTAAAGCCACGAGTAATATTGAAATATTTTTTAACTTGATACGTCTAGAGTTTTGTTGTAGTTGTTAGTTTCAGATTCATTAATATACAAAGCTAAAAACAATTTGGCTCAGGTCCGACGTCATGCATATAAAACTTTAAAACTGAAGAAAATTCTACATTATAACAGCATTAGAAATAACCTTCAGTGAACTGTGTGCGGTGATTTTATTTTCCAGGAGCTACAACTACTGAAATGTCTATTACCTTATTCAGTTTCGTTGAATGTTTTGCAAGCAATATGGTGACACAAACATAATTTTATACGGTAATATATGTATTATATAAATGACGGTCTCCTTTAGTGAGAATGTGTCACCACTTCGCAATATACAGTAAAATTAAATGCATTCAGCGTCATCATTCAGCGTCATGTCATCATTCAGCGTCATCATTCAGCGTCATCATTCAGCGTCATCATTCAGCGTCATGTCATCATTCAGCGTCATCATTCAGCGTCATCAATCAGCGTCATGTCATCATTCAGCGTCATCATTCAGCAAAACAATCTGATGTATCATAGAAGTATAACGTAAATGAAATGATCTTAACTTAAAAGATCATCCTCGAATATCTGGGTGTTCCCCTCGTAAGTGATCGTACTTAAAAGATCATCCTCGAATATCTGGGTGTTCCCCTCGTAAGTGATCGTAGCCCCAGGAATCTCGAGGATGTATAATGGGTTCACGCTGACTTTGAGTGCAAGGCTTTTAAACATTACTGACATGCATTCTTTTGTTATCTGTTAAAATCAATACAGTGTGAACAACTCTTATCTGCGTGCCGATACGTTCAATATACAGCAGCAATACGTGTATATATCCTATCCTGACCACCTGTAAGCTTATCGGTTGAACATGGTTCCTTTATGTGGTATAGAATAGGTCAACTTTCAAATTCAAGGTTAGAAGCGTTTTCCATGCCTTGACGTGTACAGTTAATAACTCAATATTCAGACCAATGCTTTCACTTAATGTTGCTGTTACTAAAAGGAGTCCCATCAATGTCATTAAAGTTGTTTGACAAACTGTATAATGCGTCTAAACGAAGTCTGTAAATATTTTCATATCATGTTAGGACCTATCCTGCACTTCTCCGATACTTTAAAATAATAGTAACTCTGTATAATTAAAAACAAAAAGTAAAATAATGGCTAACATCATCAGAAATCTATGTTTAACATCAATAAACGTTAGTTGTGATGGTAATTCCTCTAGACTAGGTATTTCATTTCAACTGTGTCATTCGGAACACCTCGCCTATGCTACCTAGAGCAGTTTCGTAGAAAATGACGAAAGGGTATTCCGAATGCAACTTTGTTACACGATCGTAATTCCTCTAGACTGTATTTTATTTCAACTTTGTTACACGATCGTAACTCCTCTAGACTATCTATTTCATTTCAACTTTGTTACACGATCGTAACTCCTCTAGACTTCAACGATATCAACTGCAACATTATAGAATGACAAACCGTGTCTGGATTTAAACATTTCGAAACCGATATAGGTGACATTTTATATTTCCCTAAACACACACACATAAATAATAAAACTTCATATCAAAATCGGATCTAT